ATATATATATATATATATATATATATATATATATATATATATATATATATATACTGCTTGTATTTTGTAATAACTGCTTTTTATAATTTGTCAAAATACAAATCATAAAATTTGTATAAAATAATTTTTTTTTTTTATATAATATCTATTTAATTATAATTAATATCATTAAATAGTAATATTATTAAATTAACAATTTATCATAAAGAACAATCATCAATTACGATTAAACTGGATAGAAACGTAAAGGTTAAAAGCTCAATTTATCCAAACGTTTATACATCATCCCCCTAAATCCCTCCCTCCCTCCCTCCCTCTCCCTCCCCCTTTTCAATCTATAATACAACTCATTCTATTTAACAAATATATAACTGATTGAATATCATTGAAAATGTTTATGTACTTTTAGTACTAAAGCATCCAACACGCTAATAGAGGATCCACGTTTGACCGTTGATACAATGGAACGTAACAGTGGTCAACAATTTGTTCCTGAGAAACGAACAAATCACGTTTTAAAGCCTGTACCTTCGCAACAATATCCGCAAGAGTGTTACCAACAGGATCCGCAACATCCACAACAACATTATGAGAGGCACCGTCATCATATTCAACCACACGGACCACAATATTTACAGGTCAGATAAGTTGCACAAATAAGTGACCATAATTGTTAAATTGATCTAATCATAAGTTTGAATCTTTGATTTAGAAATATTTTAAAGAATTATATTTGAATGATAAATGAATTTTATATGTGATCATAATTATAAAAGATGTCTGTCATATATATATATATATATATATATATATATATATATATAAGCGTTGATGTAGCTTTCTTATAAAATGTTGATTTAATATTATTTTAAATTATTGAATACATTTAATAAGAATACAGAAAATAATAATATCACAGTTAGAATGGTATACATGAAATAATGATACAGGAAAAAATATAAAAAGGAAGGTTAAGTTATGTCGTATGTAAATCTGAAAAAAAGACGTGAAATAATTGAATTGTAATACAGCACCATCTATTGAAAATTTACAGTACCTAGAGACTTAGATAACCTTAAAATTATAAATCCTTTAATTAGCGATAAAAAATACAACAAAAAATCGCGATAAAAAACTGTCCTATATTCTAAGTTTTACAACTTTAATAAATTATAACAAAACACGAAATAATATCACAATTACACATTAAAATACAGAAAATAATAATACAGAAAAAAAATATAAAAAAACAATAAGGTTAGTTTTGTGTTATGTAACTCTGAAAAAAACCTGAAATAATTGAATTGTAATACAGCACCATCTATTGAAAATTTACAGTACCTACAGACTTAGATAACCTTAAAATTACAAATCCTTTAATTAGCGATAAAAAATACGAAAAAAAACTATTTTATATTCGAAGTTTTAAAAGTTCAGTAAATTATAATAAAAACACGAAATAATACCACAATTACGCAATAAAATACAGAAAATAATAATACAGAAAAAAAATATAAAAAGCAAGGTTATGTCATATATAAATTCGAGAAAAAAAATATAACGTGAATATATCCAATAATGAAATTATAATACAGCACCATTTATTGATAATTTACAGTACCTAAAGACCTAAACATAATCTCTAAATATAATAAATCTTTAAATTAACGATAAAAAATAAAAAATAAACGCGATAAAAACTATCGAATGTTGTTAATTGACAAAAAATTACACAAAATAAACAAAATTTCGTATACAATGTGACACTAAATTTTTGTATATAAAAAAAGTTACAATACATATTTTGTTGTTGTCGAGATATTCTAAAGAATTACATTTGAACATTAAATAAATTCTACATAATCTTCAAACTAACAAACACTATCTGACGATTTATTTTTAACAATATCGTAAAAATTACATGATTGAATTTATTTAGTTTAATATAATAAACTCATTTATTTTAATATTTTAACTCATATCATTTTCATAATTATGATCACATATAATATTCCAAATACCAAACACTATGTAACTTATTAATTTTTCAAAATTACATTGAATTTTTTTTTTTTTTTTTTTAATTTAATTGAAAATAATGTCAAATTGATAGAACTGATAAATTGATGTATTTTTTTTTGTTTTTTTTTTTGTTTAAATTTATGACTTATCGTTAGATCATTTTCATAATTATTGAGTGAACGATTGCATGTGTAATTAAGCATAGCAAATGATTCTTTTGCTAAGATAAAAAAAAATATATAAATAAAAAAAAAAAAGCAATATAGCAAAGCTTGCCATTGAAAGTGACATTTGCTGACTGACCACCCAAATTCTCGTTACAAGCGAGATTTTAGCTTAAAAAACACGGAACAACGGTAGATGAATGCGAATATATATATATATATATATATATATATATATGAAAGTTAGAAATTCCATGAGCGTGTGTATACTTTAGTAGAAAGCGGGGAAAATCACGTAACACGTGCGTAGTATCCCAAAAATCGTGTGTTGGATAAACGTAGAGATAAAGAGAGAAATAGAAAAAGAGAGAGAGCGAGAGAGAGCGAGAGAGAGAGAGAGAAAAAAAAAGAGAGAGTTTTTATTTTTGTATACTATTTTATATTATTTTTTTGTTTTGTTGTTCATCGAACAAAAAGTTAGATTGGAAATATAAAAATTGTGGATGAACATTTTATTCGATGTTATGACTAAACGATTCTTCATTGTTGTTCGTTTTTTGTTTTTTTTTTTTTTTTGCAAAAATAAAATCATAATATTCGAATATTCGAATATTCGTGAGTTTTATATATCGTAATAATAATAATAATAATAATAATAATAATAATAATATTAATAATAAAAACATGGCTTTAATTAGTACAAAAAAAAAAGAAATTACATTTTCATTTATCGTTCGTCATCAGTATGATGGCTCGATAAATTTCCTATGGCAAAATGTAACACGGAAAAGCGAAAAAAAAAGAAAAAAAAAAAATACCAAAAAAAAACACCAAAAAAAAAAAAGAAAAAGAAAAAAATGACAAAAAAGTATACGAGAAGAGAAAAGTTTGAAAGTAAACGAATTGAATTTTCTCTTGCACTTCTTTTTATATGTTCTTCTTTGAAAAATACAAAATGAATTACACACGTCCCCCCCCCTCCCCCTTCCCAAAAAAAACTAGGCCAAACTGCGAATCGTTAGATCATTCTAAATCGAAATAAAATATTGCGAATACTGTGGGAAGAGAATACAGTTGGAGATTGGGGTGGGTTAGGGGTGGGTTTTGAATCGATATAATAATCGATATTCCTTTATCGTGTTATTGCCGTATTTCCATTTGTTACCTATACCCTGAAATAAATATCATTCTACTAGAGACGTGATTCATTTTGGTATAAGAGAAACGGCGTTAACGTTTGTTTCCTTTCTGGCATATCGAGATGTGAATAATAAAAGATTTTCATTTCAAATCTATGTTCTAATGTTGATATATTATCTATAACAATATTATTTTAGTTGTTAGATCAAAATCATATATTCATACAGTTTCAAAATTTTCTAATGGAAAATCAAATAAAGTGTTTTGTTTTGATAATTGACAAACAATGTGTTAGTTAACTTTGTTTTAAATAAATCAAGTAATTAATTGTGATAATTGGAATGAATCTTTAACATCTTAAACATGGCTGAATGTTGATGAACTATGAACAATGGCCGTTCTATTATTTGTAATAATTTGTTTTTAAAGAAACAATACACATATACTTTAATTAAAACAATTTACTTTAATAATTAATAATAAAATTAGTTCTAATATATATTTTAAAAGATAATATCTGTGAAAGCAACTATAATGGCGCATAGTATTGAAAAATGATATTCGGGGAAGCCCCTATAGTTGCGCATCGTATTCAAAGATGGCACTCGCGAAAGTAACTATAATGGCGCGTAGTGACTAAAAGGTTAAAAAAAAAACACTTTTCTTTTACATTTTGAAATGAAATATTTGATGTCTCGAAGAATTTTTAAATGAAAATCAAATAAAATCTTTTTAGTTTTGATATTTGACGCACAATTGTGTTATTTATTTACTTTTGTTTTTTTAAATAAGTAAAATCAATTGATATTGATGATTGAAATGAATCTTTAAAGGAAAACACTTTTCTGTTAGATTTTCAAACGAAATATATGATGTCTCGAAGAATTATGAATTTATTGTAAATTATTTATCTTTTTTTTAAATGAATAAAATCGATTGAAATTAATGATTGAGATGAATCTTTGAAAAAAAAAAAAATAAATCACTTTCATGTTGGATTTTCAATATCTAAAAAAAAAACTTTTCTTAGACAAACATCTTTCTGACATTCTCGTGCAATTATTGGCCTCGTTTTTTAACCCCAATTGTATTTTAATCTCTCTTTCTCTCTCTCTCTCTCTCTCTCTCTCTCTCTCTCTCTCTCTCTCTCTCTCTCTCTCTGTTTTTCTATATCTCTTTTTCATTATGTTATTTATTCTTGCGAATGAAATAGCAATTCGTAATCGATTGCAAGGGTTTTGATTGAATTAGTAAAATGCACAAACGCGCATGCATTTTAGTTTGCAATTAGTCAGCTTTGTATTTCTCCTTAATCAATGCCACGTGTACATCGTATTATGTATATATATGTATGTGTGTGTACTGTGTATACGTGTGTGTGTATGTGTGTGTGATGATATGGGTATGGATGTGAGTGTGTCAGCACGTATAAATATTTACCTTTAACCAATCGCATTTCCATCTTATTTAACTGTATTATTATATATATATATATATATAGAAACTGTTGTTGTTTTTTTTTTCATTTGTACTAATTTATATTATCCATTGCTTATTTATTTCTTTCCTTGCCCATCCAGAAAGTACCATTTTCGTTTACAGCCACGAGTCCTGCGGGATTCAAGAACGAAAGACTGACTTGGCTGAATTTTATAAAATTATACGGATGAAAGTATTAAATGGAATGATAATAATAATAATAATAATAATAATAATAATAATAATAATAATAATAATAATAATAAGCTCTATTAGAAAAATAATATAAAACGTAATAAGAAAAGAAAAAAAGTAAAAAAAAAAAAAAGAAAACTAGTTGATATACGGTTGTGAGAATATATGTGATTATTACAATATATACATATAAATATACATATACATAAATATATGTATATATATATATATATATATGTTGCAATCGTTTACTAAACTCGTTATAATAAAAAAATATTTAATTGACGTTTAATCTCTTGCCAATTTTAAATGACAATTGTACGTCAGTCAAATTTCTTAAGTGCGAGAGGATTATTATTAAAAATATAATTAATAAATTATCTTTTTAAATATCACGTGTATAGAAAAAAAAAAAAAATATACGTACTATGCGATTGATTAATTGATCGATGTTCTAAATATTGTAAATATTATTAAACGTTTTATTATTAAATGAAAAGTCTGATGAATATAATAGATATAAATAAAGTTATTTTGTTTTTGGGGGGTTTTCTTTTTTTTTTCTCTCTTCTTTTTTCAATATTAAAATATAAATTATAAATTCAATGTTCCTATATACTTTATTTTGATTTATTTAACCGACATTGATACGTCGAGTTTTTCTTAAAAAAAAAAAAAAAAATATATATATATACACATGGTAAAATTATTTGACAAAAATAATAAAATAAAAAAATAAATAAAATAAAAAGAAAAATATATATATATAACTCATGTCAAACAAATCAAAATTGCAACAGTGTAGACAAATTAAAAATATGAATAAACACATACTTGCATACATATTATATATATATATACATATACATACATATATATATATTTCTTAATCAACGCGCATGATTGGAAAAAAAACTTGCACTTTGTATTTAAATCGTAAGAAATGTTGTTACAAAAAATATCATCGATAATTCGATGCACTTTCCTTCACCTCCACTTTCACCCCCATTTATAAAACATCCCTAAAATCTTGAAACCCTGTTGAGTATGACGCACTATCACCAAAACCGTAGTACTCCGGCATTGATACCACGATTTTGAATAAATAAATCATTATAATAATTTACCTATAATATTATATAAATAGTTGAATTCGTTTTGGTAACAATATATCGTCCCTTTTAGTTAAAAGAAAATAAATAGTAGTGGTGAGAAAATTCCAACGGATTGTTTGTTCTCATCGAAGTGCATCGTATGAATATTATTTGTGACCATAATTATTAAAATGTTCTAATAAGTGAAAATTTAAAAAAAAAAAAGAAAAAAAACATGAGTTTATCCATTACACTTCACACCACATTATTTTAAACTAATTCAATATTACGTAATGCGTTTGTTATTTTAAATATTATATTAGGTCTACCAGAAGATTCTGTCCATTTTTTTTTTTTAATAAAATCAAATAATAAATTATTCATAATTTAAACAATGAATTAATTGAATTACTTTTGAACTCTTGTCAATATGGTGGCACTTTGTACATATATTTCATTTGAAGAAATGAAATAGGCCTTAACCCTAATGACGAAAAATTAAAACTAATGTTTGTTCCAACGGATAGTATTTTCCAGTAGACCTAATATAAAATTCAATTAGAATATTTAAATGTTATTCTTTAGAATATTTCTAAGGAAAAGAAATATATGACTTAGACAAGCACTTTCATAATTATGGGCACATTTAAAGTAGCATCTTGTAAAACGCGTTACGAGCCAAGTATATTTGATAAAGCTTTTAATCTCGTGTAAGTGCGTACGCGCGTATGTTGAAAAAAAAAAGGGTGAAGAAGATGAAAAAGGTGTATCTCATTAAACAAAATGTTACTGAAAAAGAAAAGAAAATCTTTATAAGCACACGACATATACAAACATACATACAGCAACAGCAGCATAAGACGTGCGCGCGTACGCACATCAACCCAAACGCCAAATGCTTGTGCATTCGCATTTTTCATCGATGACAACCATTTTTCTTTTATTTTTTTTTTTAGTTTTATTTCTTTTTTTATTTTTCAAAAAAAAAAACCTGTAAATACTCACATTCCTATTATCCGATACGTTGTTCACGTAGAAATCAAGAGACAACTAAGAAGTTAAGATAATCGATCATTAAACGAACTTATATAAACTAATATAGAGAGAGATTTTCTAATAACCTATATAACTATACATATTATTAACATATACACTTACACATATACATGCCTGTCGCTAAATTAAATGCGAACGAAATAATCATTGCTTCGTTTTTATTCAACGAACGGACCGAGCTTACAAAATAACGTAGAAAAGTATTTTTCCTGTGCTTGTGTAACATATTAATAAATATATAAGCACATGCATACACACTGACACCCAACAGACAGGACACACAACTCATACAAACAGCAGACATACAGACAGACAGACAGACAAACAACAGACCACATAACAAACAGGACACACAAACAGACAGACACACAGCAGGACACCCAAAACAGACAGACACACAGCAGGACACCCAAAACAGACAGACACACAGCAGGACACCCAAAACAGACAGACACACAGCAGAACACACTTACAGCAGCACACAAACAGCAGGACACCCAAAACAGCAGACACACAGCAGACACACTAACAGCTGCACACAGAAAGATAGACACATGAACAGCAGCACACAAATAGACAGACACACAAACAGCAGCACACAAATAAACAGACACACAAACAGCAGACACACAAACAGACAGATACACAAGCAGACAGACAGATACACAAGCAGACAGACAGATAGACAGACAGATTGACAGATATTTTTACCTGCAATGTACCATGCGTTTCCCTCCCCTGTTAACTATATACATATATACATACGTACATATAGATACATATAAGTTGCATTGAGCTCCTCAGCCCTTTTTTTTCTCTTTTCCAACCTTCTCTTTGAGATAAACATTGTGCAGGGGGAGCAGCTGTTTCTCAAACCAGATCGTTTAGCGACGTTGAAGCATCCTAGCAAGATCGACAAGCCACCGCAGTATACCACATTCAAGCCGGGTAACTGAAGAACATAAATGCGCCCGTCCCCCTTCTTCTCATTTTCTTGTTCTTTTTTCTTGTATTTATTTATTTATTTATAAGAATAAGAAAAAGTGTTCATAAGTCCTCATAAGAAATGAAGGAAGAAACCAAACGAGAGAGAAAGAGATTATTATTATTATTATTATTATTGTTATTATTTGTCTTTACCCCTCAATTTTTGATTACCTAAACCCCTTTCCTCCAGCCCTCTCCACCATTTAAAAATGGAAAATACTTTTTCTCGCATACGTCCAAACCAAATAAAAATTTATTTTTAAATGAAAAGAAACATGTGTGCACATCACACAAGTTAGAAGTGAAACCTTCAAATAAACAAGTTTCGAGGATAATTTATTATATATTATTATTATAATATTATTTGTACTTTTAATTTGTAATTATTTATTTAATTATTAATTTAATTTATGAAAAATTCGCGCCTGTTCGTATGCAACCTTCCAGATATACACTTTGAAAATGTTGCTTGCGAGCGCCATCTACTCGGGACGGAATTATTTTTCTAGTCAAAACTGTTTATACACGTGTGTATGACGGGTTGTTTATCATTCGGACAGAAAAAAAATTTCGTCCCGACAGATGACGCTTGCAGGCAACATTTTCAAACTGTGTCTGGAGGGTTGCATTTATACAGGCGCGCATTTTTATAATAATTACAAAAAAAAAGTAAATAATAAAACACTTTAAAAAATGTTTTCAAATCAAATATTTTTATAAATAATGATGATTTATAAATAATGTTATATTTGTCTTTTTTTCTCTTTTTACGTAGTATTAAGACCATTTCTTTCCCCCCACTAAATCTCGGTTTCGTTTTCCCAATACATCATCGCGTTTCATTATTTCAAATCAAACCCATTTTAAAGAAGTTTTCACCCGAAAAACAGGAATACAAATATTTCAATGTGTATTATATAATAATAAAAATAGTGATAACAACGGGCTAAAATCAAAATAATATTCATCAAAAAAAAAAAAACAAAAAAAAAAAAGATATTTCGACGTGTATACGTGTGTATCGTTAATTAACGAATAAATGATATAACACAAAAGTTTATATCGTTATCATCGTAACCGTGCTTCTCGATAACGAAGCACTAACATAAGAGAGAGAGAGAATATACATATATATATATATATTGTTATACAGAGTGACACACAAAGTTACAATTATTTTCTCTTTGCCTGGTGTTTATCGGAAAATTGTTCGAATTATCGATAACTTGTCTCTCTCTCTCTCTCTCTCTCCCTCTCTCCCTTTCTCTCTGTTCGTAGTCACTTATTCGAGTACGTAATTAAAAGCTACACACACATTTTACTACACCTACACAACTTTTCGTTTAGGGTCGAAAAGTTTACGGTGTACGTTAATAAAAAGGAAAAAATTCAGGTAGCTGGATTAAATTCACCCTTCCTATCAACCTAATTCATCATCATCCTACCTGTACACAATATTGAAACAAATTTATCTACTATCTTTTATTTACGCTCCAAGCATTCTCTTTCTCTCTCTCTCATAGGCTTGGTTATTCGATTGATCGATCTATCGATCGCCGTAATAAAAAGATTAAAAATATATTCGAAATGTAATAACACGTTTTACGTATAAAATGGTTATTTTTGTTCTTTTTTAAAAGTCATTTAGAAATACGTTTGGTATATGAAATAAAATTGATTATTATTGTACAAAAACGGCATAGAAAAAGAAAAAGAAAGAAACAAAAATTCGAATACAGCCCTGTATATATACAGGAATGTTCACAATTAATCGGAGTCGTTAATTTAATCTGCCAAAAACACATCTCACTGCCGACAATGTTCCAATATTATATAACAAAATGACTGACCGACTTTCTGGATTAATCAAAATGAAAAAGAAAAATAAATAAAATAAAATAATATAATATAATTAGAAAAAAATTAGGGAATGTTGTTTTTTGGGATGACTAAAAAATCAAATTAAACTCATGAAGATAATTGATTTACAATTAGTTAAAGGAAAGTTCGAAGAGAGGACATGTTTGGTAAAGTTCTTAAAACAAACACATAAGTTATTATAATATATAACAATTTCTTCGAACTGTAACAGAGTATATATATATATATAGAGAGAGAAATTTTACTTCTAAACGCTTATGACATTATTGTTAATATAAAACAATGATTTTTATTGTTTAAATATTTTTATCGATATATTATTGTATTATTAGTAGAAACAAGGATCGTGCTTTTTTTTAGTATCGATCGTATAATAAAAGGATGCGTTTAAAGTGTGTACGTATGCGTGTGTACGGGTGTGTTTATGTATGTGTGTTGGTATGTGCGCGAGCGCGCGCGCGCACGCTCTCTCGTCCGTATGCGTGGGTGTTTGTTTGTGTGCGCGCGTTTATATGTGTACGTACGAGAATGCAAGGTGAAAAAAAAACGAGAGGAACAATGTGTTTCGTACTATATATAATAAACTTACTGTACAGACCGTTGTCCATATCAAAAGAAAAAAAAAATCTGCGCTTATTAAAGCAAAAGAAATAATTCTATTTAATTTCGACTGCTGGCCAAATGTCCATGCAGATATACGAAACTTAAGGAACTGATTTCCAAAACTGGCTGAAATAAATCTAATTATTAACACCCATTTTGTTTCGTGGAAATTTATTTCAATCATTTCCAACACTTCCTGAAACTTACCTATTGCATAACCTTTCATAACCAACGAATAGTTGATTGAATATAATAATAATAATAATAATAATAATAATAATAATAATATATATCACAAGTCTTTTCTTACCTAAAGATTCTAATACTTTATTTCGAGATAATTATTTATATTAAATATAACAATTTTGAAATATTCCTTGAACAATTTGAAGAAAAAAGTATTGCAACAAATAACGCAATAATACGAAATTGAAATACTTCGCGCTCTCTCGCTATTGGTTGATTTATCGAGAGAGGTTGTGACGAAAAAATATGAACGCTAGTCGTTAATTCGTCGAGACCGCGAACGAATCATAAGCAACCAATCAAATCGTAGTAACCATTTGAATCAAATGTAGTTGCAACGATAAGACTGAAGAGAGCGTTACTGCATCTATCGTTATTTTTCAAAGTTTATCCGTCTTATTTTGATCACAGTTATTAGTAACCTCGTGCTTGCTTGTAAAAAAGACTTGATTGTATAGGTTAGAGTGTGTTGAATTGTTTGTAAATTATATATTTCACAAGTAAACTTAAATTTTCCATAAAAAAATAAATCTCTCTGTCATTACACCGATATAAATTTATCTTGAATCCAATCATGGCGGTTCGTGTACAATTCGAAAATAATAATGAAATTGGTGTATTTTCTAAATTGACGAATTCTTATTGTCTAGTTGCAATTGGTGGTTCTGAAAATTTTTATAGGTAATATAAATATAAAATATAATTTCTTAAATCATTATTTTGTTAATCTTTAAAGAATTAAATACTGAGAATAATTTAACGTAATCTCTTATCAACGATAAGACTTTAATCTATGAATTATCTATTGGACTTGACCTTTATACTAATCAAAACACACATTAGAAAGTTATTTAATTGTAATAAAGAGATCAACAAAATTATCTCTTATTATTTACAGTGTATTTGAAGCTGAACTTGCTGATACAATCCCTGTAGTACACGCGTCAATAGCAGGATGTCGTATTATTGGACGATTAACCGTTGGTACGTTATTTTTAAAAATAATATAAATATCAACAACAACAACAACAAAGTAATATAAATAATTATTTTGTAGGAAACAAAAATGGATTATTAGTACCAAATACAACCACGGATACAGAATTGCAACACATAAGAAATTCTTTACCAGACAGTGTTAAAGTACAAAGGGTTGAAGAAAGACTTTCAGCTTTGGGAAATGTTGTTGCTTGTAATGATTATGTTGCCTTGGTTCACCCTGATCTTGATAGGGTATACATTTTTGTTTATAACAATATCATGTATTACAATTACAATACAATACATATAACATTCATTTTATATCTAATATATTTTATAGGAAACTGAAGAAATTTTAGCAGATACTTTGAATGTTGAAGTTTTTCGACAAACAGTAGCAAGTAATGTTCTTATTGGATCATACTCAGTTTTATCTAATCAAGGTGGTTTAGTACATCCAAAAACTTCAATTCAGGATCAGGATGAGTTATCATCCCTGTTACAAGTACCCCTCGTTGTAAGATCAAATTTTGTTTTTATATATTACAAAGAAAGAAAGAATTGAAAAATATGAAGTTAAGTAAACAATACAAATTAATTATCAATATAATTATATAGGCAGGTACAGTCAATAGAGGCAGCGATGTTATTGCTGCAGGCATGGTTGTAAACGATTGGGTCTCTTTTTGTGGGATGGAAACAACTTCAACCGAACTTTCTGTCATAGAAAGTGTTTTTAAACTTTCCGAATGTGTTCCAGCTAATATTACATCGACTATGCGTGCATCTCTTATAGAAAGGTAGAGTTAATATTGTATAATAATACTACCCTAGTAGCATAAAATATTGAATACATGTGTATTCAATATTTTTCAATATTTTGTGCTACTTTCTAGGGTACAATTCATATGTAATATTTTCTTACTTAATTTTTTGTTTTAATTATCTAACGTATGATTTTATAATTGTTGCAGTATGTCTTAAAAAAAATTCTACAACTTCGATACAAAACGCAAATGAAACAATTTAAAAAAAATCAATCCATGATAGACGAAATAAGTGTACATATTCATAGAACCAATGTTACGTGGATTACAAATGCACAATATGATTGATGCAATGCTTCTCATTTTTTTTTTTTTGAGTACTATCTTATAATTCCAACTAAAAAAAAAACCTTTCAATGTATTAACACGTTTCTATAGATTAAAATTTATACGATTTCCCACTATCCTCTCCTTTTTTTTTTAGTTTAATCCGTTTTTGATTTATTTGTATTAAAAGAAGAAAAAGCAAACAAAACAAAAATATGAATGTAACATTCTTTTGTAATAATTGACGATTTAATCTAAACAAAACAACAACAACAAGAAGAAGAAAAAAATAGATAATAATTCTGGAAAATTGTTATACAAACATCCTTGAATTTACGCGTATTTCCGTTTCACGTGGATATTTTTTTGTTTGTATGTTTTTTTTTTTCTCTCTTTACATGAACGGCAATCAATCAAACTAGAGTTTATATAATTAGAAATGAAATAAAAAAAAAATTAGTATGTTTTTAAGAAATAATATATATGTAATTACATTTTAAATATTATTTTTTTTTGTTTTGTTATATATGTTTATATATTTTAAAAACTATGTCGACGAAAAATATAAAAAAAAATTGGAATAATTTAAACGTTAGAACGTTTATTAAAATATTGTAAAAAAAAAAAATGAATGGTTTGTTGTGCAAATGTAATGTGAAACTAATGAGTTTCTAACATTACTGAATAAGCATAATAAAATATATATACCTTATGATTAAACGTACACACACCACCACACGTTTTTTTTTACTTATGACTTCTAAGATAATATATTTTCTAATTTTGTCTAAATTCAAATAATAAAAATTACTATTGCATAAAAAAAATTAAAAAATTCTTACGTAAATTCATGTGGGATATCTGTATATATATATAAATATATATGTATATATTAAATAAAACAATAAACAAGATAATAAAGTTAATAATTATTGTATATTAATTATTTCGCGCGAAACTTAAATTTAAATCGGCTTATCAATGGCGTACTCATGTTCTAATTAGAAAAATACAAAATGATAAGATAATAGTAAATAATTATTATTAAATTAATTATCGTGCAAAATATAAATTTCAATATTTCTTATAATTTTGTATAATTTAAACTACAAAAAAAGAAAAACAAAAAACAAAAAAAAAACAAAAAAGAAAATAAAGTTCTATAGAAATATTTCATAAAATTACCAACCGGAAATGAATAATAATCTAGTCAATTAGAAAAAAAGAATGTCCTATTCTTTGTTGACAATTGCATTTTAATTATCAAATAATTATAAAAATAAATATTAAAAAACAATAAAAAATAATTTTGAATAATTAAACAAAAATTAAATATATATATATATAGATATATATAGATATAGATATAGATATATATATTACAACAAATGTTAATAATGATTTTCTTTTCATGATATTCAAAAATAGTATTACAATGTAATCTCTCTCTCTCTCTCTATAATTTATAGTATACTTAAACTTTGGACTCTATCATTTCCAGAAATGATGAAACAAGTGATAAAAAGAAATTATAAATCACTTAGAAGAGTAAAATCAAATCATACGTTAATAAGACTTTGATGGAACCACTACGTTGTATTAACTTTTGTTAGATACTGTACTACGCATTTACGCAATTAAATCGCGCGTGTGACGCGTGCGTTTTGTGCACGTGCTTTGTGATCTTGAAGATTAGTGTTAACTTTGATATGACTATCTTATTCGCTAGTCATATCTTTAGATATATTATTCCTTTTGTCTATTCATAACCTTCATTATGATCTATTAAAAATTTTCTTATATTGTATCATTCATCATTGAAAAGTGCGTGTAAATAATCAAACAAATTAATCGATCAGATTCATTTGAATCATGTACCAATTTAGCTGATACATTCCTAAATCTTTTTTCGTAATTGTTTTGCTGTTTTTTTTTTCTCTTTGTTTATGTGTGTGTGTAAGTGTGTGTGCTGTTAACGTTAAATAAATTATAATTTCAAAAAAAAAAAAACAAACAAACAAACAAACAAAAGTTTCAAAAATGGATAGCAGTAAAAAGTACGATAATCCAAGTCCACGTACAAAAGCCAATATATTGAGCATACTTGTTTTTTGGTAAGTTATTTTTTGTTTTTGTTTTTAATTTCTTACTTATTTATCTCTTATCATATTCTATTATAACATATTTTATATATGTATCTGACAATGTTATTACGTAAAATATATGCAATTGCATATATAAATATGTTTATGTGTGTGATTGTATGTATATTGATTTTTAATAACATACACACATACAATGAATATAATATAAAAGTTTATTATTACACATTGTTATTAATTGTATTGTCGTAAAATGCTATTTAATAGTTTTATAAATGTATATATGTATATGTATATGTATGTCTCTTTGTACGACAATTACATAATATATGAAAATGTGTATTTGTAATCTGACATTTAATGATATGGTAATAAACACTGTAAAGTGTGTGTTCGTGTTTGTGTCATATCTATATTAATTTGAATAATTATTATACCATTGCTGTTACACTATTTTACAATATTATCAGTTAACTAATTTCATAATATATAATTCATTTATTTAGGTAATTATAATAATTATCGTTAAGTCAGATTTTAATTTAAATAAAGATATAAATTATTTATTATTATTATTATTATTATTATTATTATTATTATTATTATTATTATTATTGTAGGTGGTTAAAACCATTATTTTTACATGGAAAAGACCATGATTTAGAAGTGAAAGACCTTTATAATGCACGACCTACCGATATTAGTGAATCATTAGGAAACAAATTAGAAAAGTAAGTATACTGTTTAAAGTATAACTTTAAGATAAGATTAATATTAGATATATATTATATCTACAATAGAGAGATTAGATATATATTATATCTATGAATAAAGATATATATGTATATATATATATTATCTAATATTAATCTTATCTCATGTGTGTGTAAGTATTATAATACAAGCTTTCTATGATAACAATAAATATTACTTGCATATAATATAATATATTACATGTATGTGTTTATAATATTTATATAATATGTATGTTTATATATATATATATATATATATAAAAGTATGTATAATAATATTATTATAGTAACATATTATATATTACGTTTATATATATATAATAAGTTTATATAAAAACATATGTATAATATATATACAAAAAGAAACAATATGGTAATAACAAAATAAAATAAAATCAAAAAATAAATAATCTATTAAAATTACACGAATTTATTCTAGAAATTGGATGGAAGAATTAAAAGCTGCAAAAGAAGCTGGTAGAAAACCAAAATTATATACAGCCTTAAGAAAAACATTTTTTTCATCGTTTGCTTATTACGGTGGATGGACTTTGCTTATAAGTTTAGTTTCAAGGTAAATATAAATATAAATATATTATCAAAAGTCTGATTATAAATAATCTGATATGATTATGAATTTGTTTTGTTTTGATTAGAGTTTTACAGCCATATACATTAGGATTATTGATATGGCATTTTGATCCGAGGTCAACGTCAACTGTAACAGAAGCATATTTGTATGCTACTGCTGTTGTAATTTTGATAACGTTAACAGCATTAATTCATCATCATACCCAATTAGGTTCAATGGAAATTGGTATGAGAATGAGAGTTGCATGTTCATCCCTTGTTTATAGAAAGGTAATATTGAATTATATATTTGTTTGAATAAATAACAATGAATGATACATTTTGTTTCTCATTTAATGTATTAAATAATTATTGTTTGTAGATATTACGATTATCTCAAGGTACTACTAGTATTACAACTTCTGGACAAATAATCAATTTGTTATCAAACGATGTATCAAGATTCGAACAATTGTTTATATATTTACATTACATTTGGATTATGCCATTACAAGGTGCCTTAATCGCTTTTTTAATTTGGGAAAGTGTTGGTATAGCTTCTTTAGCTGGTGTTTTTCTCATAACTGTTCAAACAATTCCTGTTCAAGGTAAATAAGTTTTTCCATTTATGTAACTGTCTGCCATTAATTACATAACAAATAAGAAATGTTAACATCATATATTAATTTATCATGACTTCAGGATATATGAGCAAATGGACAGCTAGTTTAAGATTAAAAATAGCAATAAGAACCGACGAAAGAGTTCGTTTGATGTCGGAAATAATAAGAGGAATTCAAATAATCAAAATGTATACGTGGGAAAAACCATTCGAAAAATTAGTTAGTTTATCAAGAAGGTAATAATAATATTCCACAAATTTGTATGACATATAAATATATATATATATGATCACAATTTATACATTTTGTTTGATTATAACTTGATATATTTGTATTTCAGTTATGAAATTGATGTACTTACATTAACATCGTACTTAAGAGGATTTACTTTAGCTACGTTTGTATTTACCGAAAGAACAACGTTGTATTTTACAATCATGGCATATGTACTTCTTGGAAACAATATATCTGCTGATAAAGTATTCTCAATGGCTCAGTACTTTAATATTTTACAAGCTACCATGGCTATATTTTATCCTATAGCGGTATCTTCTGCAGCTGAGGCTTTAGTGTCAATAAAAAGATTACAGGTGAGAAAAGAAAAGAAAAGAAAAAAAAACAAAAAGCAACAATTTAAATTTGCTTTAAAATTGTTTAATTCAAATAATAAACATTATAGATAAGAGAGATCTCTTCTTGAGACTGAGAAAACATTTCTATCGCATCTTTTAATTTTATCTGTTTGTTTTATTATTATAGAATTTTCTGTTATTGGAAGAGAATGTGCCTTTAATTCACGCATTGCCAAAAGATGACAAAAATAATATTATATTAAAAGATATTACTGCTTCGTGGACTGATACTACTATTGTAAACACTCTTCATGGCATTAATACTTATATGGGATTTGGTAAACTTTATGCTTTAGTTGGACCAGTTGGAGCAGGAAAGGTAATACCTTAATATTTTTAAATATTATTTTATAATATAATGTTTATTAACAATTATATAACATTTTCTTTTTTTTTTCATTGATTTTCTACAGAGTTCATTTCTTCAATTAATATTAGGAGAATTAAAAATATCTCATGGTCAAATATGCGTTAAAGGAAGTATATCATATGCGAGTCAAGAATCTTGGTTATTTTCTGGTACAGTAAGGAATAATATTTTATTTGGACAACCATATGATCAACAAAAATATCAAAAAGTTGTCAGAGCGTGTGCTTTGATAAAAGATTTTGAACAATTTCCGCACGGTGATAAGACATTAGTTGGAGATAGGGGTGCTGCACTTAGTGGAGGACAACGTGCTAGAATTAATTTAGCTAGGTATATAAATTATTATATAAATATATATGTAATAATATTATTATGAAATTATTATGTATTCAACTTTGTTCTTTTTTTTTTTTTTTCTTTTAATTTCTTGTTTATAGAGCAGTATACAGAGATGCTGATATATATCTTTTGGATGATCCTTTATCTGCTGTAGACGTACACGTTGGTAAACATTTATTTGATGAATGTATCAATGGATATTTGAAAAATAAAACGAGAATTCTCGCAACTCATCAAATACAGTACTTAAAAGATTGTGATCACATAATTATACTTAATAATGTAAGTACCAATATTGTTATTTATTTGATACAAATTAAAAATTGCAAATATATTTGATTATTACTCCTTAATAGGGTTACGTGGAAATCGAAGGAACTTTTGCGGATATTCAAACGAAAAAAATTGACTTTTTGAAATTATTGGAAAATGATGAATCTAAGGAAAAATCATTAGTCAAAGAAAACAGTATAGAATCAACTTCAGATATGTTGGTATCCAGTAGTAATACTGTTGTAGAAAATGATGAAGATGTTGAACCACAAGAGACGGAAGAATTAATGGCTAAAGGAAGCATATCTAAAGCTGTTTATTGGAGATATTTTAGAGCTGGTGCATCTATTTTTATAATGATTACCTTTTTCTTATCAATGTTATTGGGACTTATAGGAAGCAGTGGTAGCGATTATTGGGTTGCCTATTGGTATGAATTCAAGTTTGTTATAATCCTAAAAAATACCCTACAAAGTAGCAGAAAATATTGTCAAATATTGAATACAACATTGAATCTCGTTTTAATATTAAATACACATGTATAATGTATAACAATACTCATGTATTTGATATTTTTCAATATTTTGTCCTACTAGGGTATTTATTTATAAACTTTCGCTAATTTTCTTTTGTTTATGATATAGGACAAATCAAGAAGAAATGAGATTGAAGAAAGAACAAACTCGTGCGTTCTTTGTTGATAATTCTAATAAATCTGTATTAACAAATGGTGATTTCAATTCTACAGATTTCGCAATTAGAAATGATACGGTCAATAATAATATTACGAATATAATTTTTAATGATTTTATAGCAATGCAAAATATAACAGCTGAGAATACGGTTAGTGTAAAAATGATTGTCAATTTGTCTCGAAAATTGTTAAATATTTTGTGTTTTATATAGAAATCATTTTTATATTCATTTTTAGACAAACTTGGATGAAGAAATGTTTAACGAATCATACGGTCTCGATGTTACCACCGCTTTATCGGTTTATGGAGCTTTAATTACTTTAAGTATAGTAATGACCTCAACGAGAAATCTCTTATTTTACAAAGCATGCATGACAGCTAGCAAAAATCTACATAATATGATGTTCTCGTGTTTACTTAAAGCACCTATGCTATTTTTTAATACAAATCCATTTGGTAAGCATCGCCATATGATAAATTACTAAACAAAAATCAAACATTTGTATTTATAATAAATAATTAAAATATGTTTACATTTGCAGGTCGTATACTTAATCGTTTTTCAAAGGATATTGGTGCTGTTGATGAAGTATTACCAAGAACTATGATAGAATCAATACAAATTTTTACAGTAATGACAGGAATTTTAGTACAAGTTATAATCATTAATTGGTGGTCTATTATACCTATGCTCATAATGGGTTTTCTATGTTGGAAGATAAGAACTATTTATCTAGCAACTGCACAAAATTTGAAACGTCTTGAAGGCACTAGTAAGACATCTAAATCTTAAATTTACATTTAGAAAAATAATCTAACATTTGTTTTATTTATTAAATATCTATTATCATTTTTTTTCTTTTTTTTTTCTTTTTTCAGCTAAAAGTCCAGTCTTTTCTCACGTCAATTCATCTTTAGTTGGATTAAGTACAATTCGTTCAACCAAGGCACAAGAAATGTTATCTAAAGAATTTGATTCTCATCAAGATTTACACACTGGTGCATATTCATTGTCAATTACAACTGCCACAACATTTGGTCTGGCACTTGACGCAGTATCCGTTTTGTTTGTAGCTTTTGTTACGTATAGTTTCATTATTTTGAACGATGGTAAATATCTATTTATAATTGGCACATGTTTACATTAATATTGAATATTATTGAAATAAATTCTATCTTTTAATATCAAACATTTCAGGTAATACTTTTGCCGGCAATGTAGGCCTAGCTATATCACAGGTTCTTATTTTATGTGGAATGTTACAACATGGTATGCGTCAAACTGCGGAAGCTATAGCACAAATGACTAGCGTTGAAAGAGTATTACAATTTACACAACTCGAAGAAGAAGGTCCATTTACGAGTGATCCAAATAACAAACCATCACACGAATGGCCTACTAAAGGCGAGATTATATTTGATCATGTATATTTGCAATATTCTAATAACGATCCGCCAGTTTTGAAAGATTTAAATTTCATTATACAACCTGCAATGAAGGTATGTACATATATTGATAAATAATGTATCTATCAATAAGATATATACATATATATATATAAAACCCTTGACTTTTCTTAAACCTAATTTTGTTTCTTTTTTCTTTAGATTGGAATAGTTGGGCGTACTGGTGCTGGTAAATCTTCGTTAATTTCAGCCTTGTTTCGTTTGTCTGAATTCAATGGTGCTATTTACATAGATGGAATTAAAATCAATAAGATTGGTTTACACGAACTTCGAAATAAGATTTCTATTATTCCTCAAGATCCAGTGCTATTTTCTGCAACATTGCGAGACAACTTAGACCCATTTAATAAACACGACGATGTTGCTTTATGGACTACACTTGAAGAAGTAGAATTAAAAAGTGCATTTATTTCTTTGGATCATCAAATTAGTGAAAGTGGTAGCAATCTTAGCGCAGGACAAAGACAATTGCTTTGTCTAGCGCGTGCTATTATAGAAAATAATAAAATTCTAATTCTCGATGAAGCTACGGCTAATGTCGATCCTGCAACAGACACATTAATACAAAGTACAATTAGAAGAAAGTTTCAAAATTGCACGGTATTGACAATAGCTCATAGATTAAATACTATAATGGATAGCGATAGAATATTATTGCTGGATCATGGTGAAGTAATCGAATTTGATCATCCTTATACATTATTAAAGAACGAACAAAGTTATTTTTATAAAATGGCTAAAGAAACTGGAGATCATATAATGGAACAATTCCTAATCATAAGCAAACAGGTAAAATTATACTACAGTGTCATTTTCTTTGAATAATTCTTACTTTTTCTTGTTAAAATAATTTCTATTTTATACGTATATCATTTTCAGGCCTATGATAATAGTAAGTTCGATATATCTACAGAAACGAAAGTACAAGAAAATGGAAATCCTAATGGTCTAAAACACTAATTACTTTGTAATTACTTGTTAATAATAATATATGCATGTTTGTGTATTCTTTTATAATTAAAAATAAATCAAAATGTGCACATATATAAACTTTTGTACAATTATTTGTAGATATTTGAATTACTCTCTATTTCAAATCATAAAAGATAGAAATATATCCACAAAAAAAAGATGAATAAATGGAATGATAATATTTAAAATCTTACGTTATAAATAAGATGATCATATTACTCTTGAACGTCCAATATATAAATAATTTACGAGTAATTTATTCATATTAATTGTACTGCACCACTTTTAACTAAATCAGCGATAAGATTATATTGTATAATGTGTTGAGAACCAGCTTCCAAATCTATTTCTTCATCTGTTACACCGGGTAAAATAATACCAGTTATTCTTTCATTGGCTCTTAAAAATACATGAGTTTGCATATTTGGTTTGGTGCTAACTTTTTCTATTTCAAATGCTTGAAAACTAGCAGGCATGTGTTGCAAAGCAACCGTTTTGAAAAGATTTTCAACGCTACCCAAATATTCTTTAGCAAAGCGTACTTCATTTGGGGTTAAGTAAGCTTCTTCTGGTTGTCTGGCAGCTTCCTCTGACAATATATGAATAGTATATCTTTCTATTTTGTCCAAACGCATTCTTAAATAACTAGAAATAAGGAAACGTATCCTCTCGAGTTCCATTTTATGAATCCACAAACGAAGATCATCCCTTTCTAACCTCTTCACGTTTTCTTCCATATGACTTATCTGTTGCAACATGCAATCCACAAGATCAAATTTATGCGGAAGAATTTCTGGAGAAAATTTTTCATTAAGCCATGCATTTTCAATAGCTTCCAGTGCATTTTCTGCCGTTAAAACCTCTTCTATTTCGTTTCCTAACCCGGCACCATTTTCTTCCTCAATATCTTCCATTATATTTTAACACTATATTATTTCTTCAATCGATGATTTCACAAATGTAAATTTTATTAAATATTATCACTAATAATTTGATATAACACTTAATTAAACTTTAACAAACAGATTTACCCGTGACAATCAAATAACGTTTGGTATTTAATTTATTTTTCCTGTTTCGAAACTCGAAACACGATTAAGGATCGATTTATCGATTTTTTCGATTTTTTCGATTTTTTCGATTTTTCCGATTGCGCGCGCTAAAATATTTAAATTTGAAACGAACATAGATTATAATAATATGTATTTTGTTAAATTAATTAATAATTAATATTATATTTATAAATGAAAATCAAATCTTTACATATTTAAAATAAAAAATAGATAGAACATTACTATAATCTCCTTATATGATGAAACCATATTAAAACGCAAACGTCAATAAAACATTTCATATACTTTAAAAAATAAACAAGACAACAAATATTTAATAATTTAATTATAACGTTTTCATTTTTATTTTTATTATTATACAAAATAAAAGAAAGAAAAAGAATAAAAAAAAAACATTATTACGCGTTATTTATAATAGATCGTTAAAAAAAAAAAAAAAAAGAATAAAGTTGCGTGATTATGTCTCATATAAGAGTTTATCCTTCTTACAATTCTCAAGGTACTCACGAAGAAATCGAAGAAGTATATACTTCAGTCTTTTGTGTTTTATTCTTGTTGTACCCTTGTAAGGTTTCTGTGTGCGACATTGAAGGTGCCCCAAGGTATTCTTTAATTCCTTCTAACTTAATAAGTACTGTCTTAAGACTGTTTGGAGATTTAGATGAAGTAATCATATAGAGAAGAAGGAGTAAGGGTACATATGGAGTCAAGTTGGAGTAACGGTGCATATTTAAACTGGACTCGTGCAGAGACAAGACGAGCCGCATCCATCAGTGGACCAAACAACATTCGGTGCCTTCTAAGTCCTCACAGCCCGCGGTGACCACCCTCCACTTTTAAATATTCAGGGAGTACCTGGATTAGTTCGTTGTTTTTACGATTTTCTCCAAGTAGCCTGTGGTAAAGGTAAGAAATAATAATATACAAATAACATCAAATACACTATAATTAGATTTTTTTTTTAACTGTATATTTATAGTCCAACATGACCGTTATGTCGGGACCAAGTTATGCAGCATGGGCGAGTCATGGGTCGAAATTCGGCAACCTGACCTTAGTAGATAGTATTCCACCAGAAATGACACATTTAATTGATCCACATTGGTATCAATTTCCACCTATAAATCCTATGTGGTATCCCATGGTTGGTTTCGTTATTGGTTTACTAGGTTTTATCTCTGTCATTGGTAATGGCATGGTGGTTTACATCTTCTGTTCAACAAAATCATTACGTACTCCAAGCAACATGTTTGTTATTAATCTCGCCTTTTCTGATTTCCTCATGATGTTCACCATGTCTCCACCTGTGGTAAATATTATTTTACAATCATTTAACAAAACATTTTTTTAAAAGAAATTATTGAAAAATCTATTTTTTTAAATAGGTAATTAACAGCTACTATGAGACGTGGGTATTTGGGCCTCTTATGTGCCAAATCTACGCACTTTTGGGTTCTCTGTTTGGATGTGGCTCCATATGGACAATGACTTTAATTGCATTCGATAGATATAACGTAATCGTCAAAGGTTTGTCAGGCAAGCCACTCACCATCAATGGAGCCCTCCTTCGAATCTTGGCTATTTGGGCATTCTCCATCTTTTGGACTGTTGCACCTCTTTTAGGATGGGGCCGGTAATATCTTGTCATAGTATAATAAATTTTCTGTTCTTTTTTTCCCCCCATTAATTTTAAAACTACATTGATTAATACGTGTCATTGACAGATATGTACCTGAAGGAAATTTGACAGCATGCGGCACTGATTATCTCAGCAAGGGAATAGAATATACATCTTACATCTTCATATACAGCATATTTGTCTACTATCTGCCACTATTTATGATCATCTACAGCTACTACTTCATCATTCAAGCTGTCGCGGCACACGAAAAAAATATGCGAGAACAAGCTAAGAAAATGAACGTAGCATCTCTAAGATCCTCTGAAAATGCTAATACTAGTGCCGAATGTAAATTGGCAAAGGTGTGTACATACATATATATTATATAATATACAAATTTCAAATAAATTTGCATATTACAATAATTTTGATAACTTTAGGTTGCGCTTATGACGATCTCCTTATGGTTCATGGCATGGACTCCTTATCTTGTCATCAATTATACAGGAATCCTTGACACTCAGAAGATCACACCTATCTTCACTATTTGGGGATCCATTTTCGCTAAAGCAAATGCTGTATACAATCCTATTGTTTATGGTATCAGGTAAATCATTTGTTCATCTAAAGAAGATACCAAGAAAATAACATATCGATGAAACTTTTATATTAACTGATCTATATCTGCTTTTTTTTTTTTTTTCAGCCATCCTAAATACCGAGCCGCTCTCTTCCAAAGGTTCCCATCTTTGGCTTGTGCAAATGAATCGGCACCTGCTGCTACGGATGCAACATCTACCGTATCTGGTGTGACTACTGTCAATGATGCAGAAAAAGCCTCTGCATAAAGAACAAAAAATAGTCAACAAAAGCTGCCATTTTCTAAATTTCTAAATTAACATTAGAGAAATTAATATCAGAAGAAAAAATATTGAATTATTTAACATCTCAGGCAGCAATATTCGTGTGTTCTAAACAAAGACTTTAAAGTGATATATATATATATATATATACATATATAATGTTAAAAAGAAGAATAACATCAAGAATATATGAACACACATAAACTAAAAGATTCAATTTAACATCTAGAAGGAGATAATTAAAAAAAAAAAAAACCTCTACCAATAACATACATGATATCACTGTTTACGCAATATAAAATGAACAAACTTTAGATACATCTATGATTAATTTTATGATTCACATTTCACCACAATGTGAAACGTTTATAATTGATTGATAGATTGCATTGTAATTTTTGTCCATTTTATAATATAGTGGTAAACATGGTCACTTTGGTATAAGCAGGTATTGGCTCTATGGTTACAAGATTAGTCAGCGTGCCAAGACTTAGCGATAGCGTCATATCTGTACTTAATTTTGTAAAACTAATATAATAAATCATGCAAGCAATATCATTTGTTTATTATTAATATACTAAAAATCATATAATTAAAATATACACCCTTTAATAATCTACTATACAAGTATATATATTTTGTTATCAAATTATTTCAATAATAATAATTATGCGCTAAATTATTTATTTCCATATTTTACACAAGCACATCAAATTAGATAATAACATATGAAATTTCGAAAAATTTAATTTCATACTTTTTAAGAAGAAAACTAAATAATATTAATAATAAAGAAAAAAATTATGCTTTTCCACTCGCCGTTGTGGTAGAAGATGTTTCAGCATTTGTTGCAGTTGCTGCAGCTGCTGCTGGTTCTTCTGTTGATCCACACACAAGACATGGTAATTTTTCTTTTAACGCTGCTCTATATTTTGGATGACTATACAAAATATACAAATGATCAAATTAATGAAATATAAATTTGAATAAATTTTATTTTTGTTTTTTTTTTTTTTTTAATACCTTATTCCATAAACAATAGGATTATATATTGCATTGGTTTTAGCAAAGAGAGATCCCCAAATAGTAAAAAGTGGACTGATTTTTGAACCAAAAATACCCATATAATTTATTACCAAATATGGTGTCCAAGCCATAAACCATAATGATATTGTTGTTAACGCTACCTACAAATAATAAAACTAATGAAAATCAAAAGATCAAATTAAATTTGTAAATACAGTAATACCTTTGCCAATTTTGCTTCAGCACTAGCAGATTGATTATCACCAGATCTTAATGAGGCAACATTCATTTTCTTAGCTTGTTCTTTCATAGCTTTTTCATGAGCTGCTACAGTCTATCAAATTAAATAAAAATTCTTATCAAACGAATAAATATATAAATATTATAAAAAATAAACATAATTGGTATACTTACTGAAACAATAAAATAATAACTATAGATAATGGTAAATAATGGTATATAATAAACAAATACTGAATACACCAATATATAAGATTTAGATCCCCAATCTTTAGAAAGATAATCTGTACCACATGACGTCATATTACCTTCCGGTACATACCTAATTTATATATATAAAAACGTATAAATTTTATATCAAATAATTCATAATAAAATTACAATGAAAATTTTACCTATTCCATCCTACCATTGGTAAAATTGTCCATACTAATCCAAATAGCCATATAATGATAATTTGTAATATGGCTCTTTTAATAGTTAAAGGTGTACCAGACATACCCTGCAAATATTCTAATTTAATTATCCTAAATAATGACCTTGTTAATAGAATTGTTCTAATACCTTTACTATAACGTTGTATCGATCTAAAGCAATAGCAGTCATTGTCCATATCGATGCACATCCACATAAAGAACCAACCATAGCGTAGATATCACACATTAATGTTCCTTAAAGTATACAAAAAAAATAGCTTATACTTTATTGCAATTATTTATATAATTAAATGACTAAATAAAAAATAATAAATCTATTACCTAAGACCCAAGTTTCAAAATAGCAATTGATTACCATAGGTGGTGACATTATAATCATCATTATGAAGTCTGAAAAAGCCAAGTTTACTACGAGTAAATTACTAGGTGTTCTTAATGATCGTGTCATCAGGAATACATATACAACAACACCATTCCCACACCATCCCAAAAGTCCAACTACGATCATAACTAAGCCTAATATTTTATGCCACAATGGATCCAATGGTGGGAATTGATACCTATGTATAAAAATAACAAGAAAATGATCAAATAGCTATTTTATTTTTTAATATATCAATTAATCGAATTTATTTATATAAAAAGAATATAATGTACTAGTTACCAATGAGGATCAATTAAATGCAACATTTCTGGAGGTACTTTATCGGCAACCGTTTGATTAGTAAATCGCATCTTTTGATGTGCAAATTGAGGACCAATTGTACCTAATATCTGAGCTAATATTTTATTTCCTATCGTTTTATTTAATCCAGGTACAATATCACTGACATTTACTAAATTTCTTTCCATATTTTCCTATGAATATATAAACAATATACGTATATTAATAATATACTACAAATAGAAATAATTGAAGAAATTATAAATTGAATATATATATATATATATACTTACAAATATAAATTGAAATATATTTTATTTATTGTTATTGATAACTAGATAATAATTAACACTAAATTTTGTAATAATGAATATTTTAGCTTGAGCACAAACAATGAATTGGTCACTGTCTCTTTTATATATCTACAAATATGGACACATACACATATATTCGAAATGAAATCAAATTCTAATCCAATAAAATATTCAAATGAAAACTTCTACTCTCATATTAAATACATTAAGATATATACCAATGAATGTAACTATCAAGTAGTAGTAACTACGTCCTTGAAGTTCTGTCATTTAAGATTTGAAGGAAGCCTTACAATAAGATATATTTTATATAGATATAAAATAGAAAATAAATAAAAAGAAAAAAAAAAAAGAAATTGACAAGATAATTATATTCAATACAAGTGTATAGAAAATGTGATAAAAATATAAGTAATATCTGTATCTCGATAGTATTAGGATTTTTTTATTTGAAATGTCATTGTAACATTACCTGTTTAATACATTTTCGTATTTTTATTTTTTAACGTTAAAAGTTTCAGCCTATTTGTGCCAAAATTAGAGAAAATAATAGGTAATTCTTTTTTTTTATAGATTTATAATAATAAATTTAAATTTATTTTGTTGCTCTAGAAACTTGACGAGTGTGTTGACTGTAACCTTCCTTCAAAGCTTCGTTTAATTCTTGAGCCATGTGTATTAAATTGACAGGATCTGTTTGAAGTAAGACATGTTCCAGGTTTTCATTATTTTTCAACGTCAAATCTAATGTAATTAATGGTGAAACTTGTTTTAACAATGTCCTTGAAGCAGTCTATAAATAATAATCATTGTTATTATCATGCTTTAATGATATATGAAGATATTAAAGAAACTATTACCTGTACTTCAAAACGCCATTCAAGATCATGATATTCTGGTAATTTAAAACCAGTAATTGATAAAATATTGGATATTTCTTTTTTCTTTGTAGTATAAAGTTTACTTAAAATAGTTTCATTTTCTTCAGAAAAACCTAATGCTATAATAGAATCTCGAAAATCTTCGTTACTTAGCTATAATATATATATAATATATAATTATTATTTATTATAATGATATATATATATAAAATAATGTTATTATAATTCAAATATCATACCTTATGATTGCAACTCTCTAATAATAAATTAACGAGACCTTCTACCGAATTTTTAATAATATCCACTTCTACTTCAAGTTTTTCTATAATAAACATCACATGTTATTGACAGATATATATATATACAATAAAAGAATATTATTTTATTTAATATCACTTGGATATATAAGATATTTGTATATACTCACGAGCTGCCCCATGATACAATTTCATATTAGGACCTTTTTGTAAATAATCTAATGCAAGTTTGCAAAAATCCTGCAACACTATTATAACATTGTTATAATAAATAAAAATATATCATAGTTTAATAGAATTAATAACATATGTATAATATCATTTATAATACCTTGAGGTGTTTGTTCAATAAGAAATAATACATGTTTTTTATGATCTGGTCGCAATGTCAGTAACATTTTCTTTTATTAAAGAAATATATATAATGTAAATACATCAAAACGATCATTCATTAGAAACGTTTATAAAATATTTCTTTTTAAAATATCTTATATTACATAAATATACTAGTTGTATTAAAATATCACATAGAAATAATTATTCATAATATTAATTAATGATCAATTAAAATTACAAAATTTAATAACAAGATGTAGATCAAAATTCTAACCTAAACCATTCCTTATATCTGTCATCAATGATATCGAATTCACTGCGCACATTCCACGCGCATCTTTCATTTATAAATTCAATATGGCGGATAATTCGCACCTTGCCGACAAGGTACGAATAGATACGAAGCCAGTACATACTTGTTTCTTGTACATATATTATGACATTAAGGACGACAAGCTACATAATAAAACATGGGAGATAAAGGTATCAGCTTTTCTAAAAAAAAAAAAAAGAAGAAAAGGAGCAGAATAATATAGCTTAAGGTAGCTTGGGCACGCTGCTAATTCTTATCAACGTAATAAAGATTATCAATTTTTTGTTAGGATAAGATTTAAGTTGTATTATTTATGCACGCTTAATTGACACTTTATGCTTATTATTATATTAATAAAATTAATTAAAATTATATTTTTTTACAAAATGAATAATATATATTATGTTAATAGTAGATAATCTATAGATGATCTTATTATATTACATGAGACTGCATCATTGTAATCATTATATCTATACATTACTATCATTATTGCCTTATCCTTTTATTATCTTTGCATGCACACATATGTTAATATAAAAGCTTGCAATTAGACTATTCACAAATGTGTCTCGTATTGCTTTAATGTATTTTCTACTTTGTAATGCAAAGTAGAAAATTGTCTATTGTTATAATTTTAAGTTTGATATTTTTTTCAGAACATCATGTACACTTCAGCGGTGCGAGTGGTCTTGGGAAGGACAATAACATTATGATACAACCGCAACGACATGGGCATATAGATGTTCATCTTGGATTCTTACAGCTTCATCACAGGTTTACAAAACGATGCGATAAACTAAACGTAAATGTTGCAATCGTCACATAGATAATCGTACTGTTGTGTGATTTGTTTTTGTTTGCATTCATGAAAATCAGATTATATGCACTTTACATTTAAGAATATATAGTTATCATAACAAAATTGTATACTTATATGTTCTTTTTCAAGGTATCACGTGGAGTTTTCTATACCATGGAATATTTGTGTTCACGGTGAAGTTCTTGCACCAGCTATAGTTGCCAGTAATCAGCACAATCCAGACTGTCATATCATTGAACTAATGCAAGAGAAAGATGGTCTAAAGTAAATAAATATTTTTTAAAAATTTAATACAATATTCGTTTAATTAACAATTTTATATTTATGTTTAATTCTATTTATTTCCATTGAAGGTTAAAAATTGAATTGCTGGCTTACAAGGAACGAATCTTGAAGGAAGAAGTTGAAATCATGTGTTGTAATTTTGGCACACCATTGAAAATACTTTTGAATGCAAGAGTATTAGGTAAAGACAAAGGAACTCCATTATTAAGGAATGGTATACGCAGTGTTGCTGTAGAAGGTGTTGAAAAAGACGATACATCTGACTGAATCTACTAACAATCACAATGCTTCTAAATAAAACGCGCTTTTGTACGCTTTAACTAAATTGATTTTATAATTGTTTAGATTGAACAAATCTAAGATACAAAAGAAACATATATATTATCAATTTTGAATAATATACAAGATAAACTATTTGCGCTTATATCATTTTCTGATTTAAACAATTTTTATCAATTATAACTTACAACATAATACTGATCATTTCTTTCTTTGAAATATAACTAATAACTTGAATGAACATAGTATTTCTAATAAAATGGCAACGAAAATAGAATAGTTTCAATAACTTTATCATTAATAATCTTATTATTATATATGAATATTATTGGTATTATGATTACATTACAATAATTTTATTTTAATAAGAAATTTTTATTTGGCATCTTATTTATTAACAAAATCATATGATTTTACAAGCTTTATATTTTAACTATAACTGTGTAGCAATATATTTCTATCGCTATATAATAAAAAACGAATTTTTACCTTGTGTATAAAGTATCGTATTTTATTAAATACTTCATAATTACAAGTTTGTGTCAAAAAATGAACACTACCCATTTATAAAACTAGATATTAACGTGAATTTGTCTGCAAATAGGGCAAGTATTACGTGATCCCTATAACACAAATACATAAATAGATATTGCATTATAGATCAAATATAGGATATAGTTTACGTATTTAATTAATACAAAAAAAGAAGAGAGGGGTATTCAAACCATAAATATAAATATTTACAAGAAAATATAATAGAGTCAATTATTTAAAAAACAAAAATAATATAGTATAGTTTAGCATTTTTAAAGTTAAAATCAAAATTTACCATTGGACCTTCCGATCTCCATGTATTAATACATTTTTCATGAAACGAATGATTACATGGAAGCACTTTACGTTGACTTGAAATTTCTTGTAAACAGATAGTGCAGACGGTATTTTCATTCTGCAATCTCTTAGATCGTTTTCTGTGTCGATTTTGTTGCTCGCTAGAAAAAGATACTACCTTTTGATTCATAAAAATGAAACGTTCAAGCTGTTTATCCTTTCATTGCAGCAATATATATCTATCTATCTATTTTAATTTAAAACAATATATAACAATTAATAAATATAATTATAGAAAATGAGAATACTTGTTTGATGATTGTTCCAAGGAGGTGAAATAATTGGGAAACCTTTCAAAAGTTGAACCATTAGCACCTCTAGTATTTCCATATCCATAAGGTTCTTCTTGTGCTCCATTATTAGCAAAAATATAATATAATAAACTTGCTAAACCAACTGTAAGCGCTACTATAGCAACACCTTGAATTGCCATTTATAATGAGATAGATTAAACGTTAAATAATTGTAATTAAATAATTTAATGAACAAGATTCTAATTAATGTCATTTGATTAATATATAGAATATATTTAATTAATATTTTTGTCTTATTTAATACTATGTGTCAAAATATGACATTTACGATAATAATATCAATACTTGTTTATATCAACTTTCACGATATATACTTTTAACATGTAAATTAAATATATTTATGTGCAAACAACATTCAGATCACTATTTAACAGTTAAACGTCTATTTCTTTCTCACTCTTTCCCCTATATTTAAGAAAACAATAACGAGGTAAAAAACTGCCAGCCATTGCAGTTCACTGGGAAGAACGTAGCAGGTTAGCCAATGGCAGATAAAAATAAATAAATATATATATGTCACTATGTACATCTATAGTGAGTAAAGAAATAAATAGAAATTTGTAATAACGTGATATATATATTTCAACATATTATGCAATTTTTCACGTAAATATTATTTTAATAACATATATATATATATATATAAATATATATATATATATATATCATTATTTTATTATAAAAATATATTATTAATATTTGTATTAACCAAAAAATTTTGTCATTCAATTTAATTTATAAGTTGGCAAGGCTGTTACAATTATTTTTACAGAATTGCCAATATTCAAATAAAAATGTGTCCAAATATAAAGTGAGAAAAAGTAAGTAAGAATTGATATGTAAAAATAATTAATTGTTTATTAACTATAATTATTTGTAGTTTTGTAAAAGTTGTTCATTTATTTAATTTGCTCACAAATATGTTGATGTTATTTATAATTAAATATAATACATACATATACATATATACATATCATTATAGGAACTATAAAGATAAAAGAAAGGTAATTTTTGTATATATATATATATATATAAAACATAGATCAAAGGCACTTTTTATCGACATATACATAATTAAAAATATACATGTAAAAAAATTACACGCCGTTGTGATTAAATATAATTTGTGCAACTATGACAATTGTGTAAATAAACTTTCGTTGCAATTTTGTAATAATTTAATAATGAAATTTCAGAGATCTATACATCATGCATCAGTAGTTACTAGAATCACTAGATAGAATCTAAATGCATATGGATGTGAAATCACACAAAAGAAAAAAATATGTATATGAACAAATTTGTAAACTTGTTTGAAATTCTTCTGTCCCACATAAATTATGTCTATGTAAGTACATATATATATATTTTCTGTAATAATTTAGAACTTGAAAATAAATGTTTTATCATTTCAAAAGGTATAACGAATCTTTGATGAGAGATTAAAAATCTGGAAGTATTGTATTTTGATCATTATCACTTTAACACTAAATATACCACCATTTTCAGTATACCTGTTTCTACCACACTAGTCAAAATGACTGGTGTATAAAAAAAAAAAATGCTTTCTGAGGCTTCCAGTTTTTATTTACTTTTAAAAAATAACAAACAATGTTTAACAATAATAATTTTAATAGATATTGTTAAATAACAAAACGCTTAATTATTTACAGAACTCAAATGTTACATGAAGTACAAATTTTGAATTAAAATGGTTCGACCAGTCAAAATGACGGGTCTGGTATATCTAGCGTTAAAGAACTTTTCTTCCTTTTATACTTCACAATCCAATGTTGAAAGAGAACGCATTGACGATCGAGTTACTGACGTCAAAGAAGATACTGAACGTTCGATGGACTGTGTCCTAGTTGTTTGTTGCTTTAGCAACATATGTCGAAGGGATTGAGCTTCCTCTCGAAGGGTTACAACCTGCGCTCGTAAAATAGCATTTTCGTGTTCTAACATTGTTGCTTTTAAAGCGATCTACGAATATAATAATTATTATTATATAATAATTTTAAAAATATATCTACCTTAATATCTATATTAATTTTTGTTTGGGATTGTTCTAATAAATATTTCATTGATACGCGAAAAATAAAGTTTGATAAATTCTGAAATAATATAATCTAATGATAAAAATAGATAGAATTTAAAATTCTTACATGATCTTCGCGAATTTTTCTAGCGTCTCGTGATTTTTTTGCCGCTTGATTATTACGTTTACGCCTTTCATAATATTTTTCATCCTTTTGATCATCAGGAATTGGTTTTTTCTCGCTTCGTGGTCGTCTATTTAGATTTTGTGTATTATTTTCGTTGATAAACTGTCGATTCATAATCGTATCTGCATTATAAATTATATAATAATCTTACTGTTGTTTTATTGTATTAATGAAAAAGCATTATATAATGGGCAGAAAAATTCATATTATTTTACGCACCGTACAAATCTTCAAAATCTATGGCGTAAATATTATTAAAAGTAGAACTCTTCTCACCTGTATCTATGACGTCCGAATATCGTCGAGGTATATTTAACGATGGTATCAAGGGTGTCATAGCTGTAAAAAAAGGTGATTGTACAAGAAAACTGCTAGGAATTGGCAAAGTTCCGGAAAGAGAAGCGGTTGTCGTTAAGGATGGTGTTAACGATGATTCCGTAGGCGTAGAATTGGATAAAATATTTGATTCGTTAAATTTACAATGTTGAGTAGGATACGGCTCGTATCTATATAGATCTGTAAATGCAAATAAAATAGCACACATTGTTGTGTGTTCAGAAGAATTTGAAAATACAGATATTTCATAAATGATGAATACGTGACCTAAAATTGAACATCGCCATTTAATATTTTTCGTAAGACCAACGATAAAAATTCTGCTAATTAAAACTTACATTTTATTTTCAAATGTTATTAAATAATAATTTTATTAATATATATTTTCGGTTGTCCATCATTTATGAATATTTTTTATTATATATTGACTACAGATCTAATAAAAGATACTTTTATGATATTTATTTTTATTTGTAATCTAATTAAAACAAATCATTTTAAACAAATGTATAGAAAATGTAATTATTCCTTTTGTACTTAATTTAAGAGCAATTTTCTCAATCGCCCCTGTGGCCTAATGGATAAGGCATCGGTCTCCTAAACCGGGGATTGTGGGTTCGAGTCCCACCAGGGGTAAAATAATTTTTTTTTGTTCTTCAATTTAACATTATTTATTATCAAAAATTTTTCCTGTATTATTAGTTTTAGTAGTTATTAGTTTAATCGTTCCTATTATTATTCTTTTTAAAGAAACGTTTCTATTCAAATGATTTACAGTGTAAACTAAAATCTAATGAATTTGTTTAAAATGTTAGAAAATTGATTAGAGTTTATTCGCATACTAATTATGAATAAATTATAATCTAGCACATCATTGAACTTGCGTGTTTTCATAAAGTTTTAATCATACTCATACATGACACACAATAAGCGTCTTTTGCACGATTCGTATCATATACCAGTAACGTGATCATCATTGATAAGCAATTTTCGAACAACGTTATATTTTATTATTCATTATATTTTGCACATGTTAAATTGTTTGCTATTTCATCTAGGTATATATAGAAATAATATTTTATATGCATTCGATAGATATTCAACACATGAAAATAATACAAATAATTTATAATTTTAAAGAATATCATTATTTATAAACTCACCTGAATTTGGAGCAAGAAATTTGTAACTTCTTAATAGTTGTAATGTAGAAACTGCTCCGGTCATTGTATTTTCAGAACAAAATGTTTGCGTATGTATATGAGCCATTATTTCAAAACTCGTTTGAATAATTTCAATTTATGCTGTCATCTTAAAAAAAAAACAAAACGTATTTTTTCACATTTTTAATATTTCTAGAATATAGATAATGTAATAATCTTGTAAACGTATATTGATTAAGATCTATACGTCGTTTCTTTTTCAAACAAATCCACAAGACCATATAATTTTAACTCATCACGAATCAATCATTATTATTCTCACAACAGAATCGTCGTTAAAAAGTTTCCTCATATGTCAATCGTCTTATGGTACCTATAGTTATTATCTTTTTTCTTCATTTTTCAAACTATTGATATATAATTTTCATAACTTTTCAGAAGTTCGAAAGCAAAGTTATAATATCACGAATTGACATATATGAAAAAGAAGGACTCTCTCACAAGTTAGGTAAGCACTTAAGATACTTCAGTATAAAACAGTTTCAAGTTAACAGGTCGGTTATGATAGAGCTTTCTCGTATCACGTGCTTTGATGATTACAATCCTCCTATTCCAGGGAAACTTTCATTCGTCGACGTTACCTTTCTTCCCGCCCTAAAGAGCATGCGTACTTGTGAAGATGATATTCGTTCCGCCCATATCAGGTCGTCATGGGTGACCAGCGACAATTGCTTTTCTAATGGTCAAGCTTCGAAAGTGACCAATCGCCAAGCCATCCATTTTTGCAATTAATGATCATTCAAGAATGAATATCACGACCTTAATCTACAAGAAATAGGATTGAAGATAATAAGTTAACGATTAAACTGATTTTATAATCAAATGACAAATATTCCATTCAATTTTCAATATAAAAAATTGAAGTTTATTTTTGTAATGTGAACGATCATCGTACAGTTAATAAGACAAATTACATTTCTTTTAAACGGAACATAATACGAGGAATTGAAATTCTTCTAGTTTTATCGTCCTATCATCTCTCTTATTTTTATTTCTTGAATTTTTGATAGGATTTGATCTGAATAAAGGCATCTAAGCAAAAAACCGAGACTTTCTTACGGTAGCAGCTCATCCAGCAATACACATCACGAATGGTTGCTTTCAATGCTATGGGACAGCGAGCACCTGACACTTCCATGTTTCCTGCGAATGTTTCACATGTTCGTAATTATTATAAAGCAAATTAGACGGGTGTATAGACTGGTATTACTTCCCAAGTCGATCTCATAAAATATTGCACTTGTTCGGCTCTGTAATTACCTCTTGTCCAATGATTAATGGCTGAGAGATCGATGGACTCTGTTCAAGGGTTAAACGAAAAGAGGAATAGTAAAGTTCACGTTCTTTGACCTTTTCATATATTTAACTATATATTTTATTTTATTCTTTATTTTTAAATACTAACAAATGTTAACTTTTTAAGGTCCTGTGTCAAGTTTGATTTCAATATTACAATTTCAATGGATCCCTATAATTCAAGAAGAGTATAAGTCACATCAATATAATTGCAAAAAGATGAACTCGTTAAAACGTAGAAACTGTTAGCAAGTTGTTGATCAAATGACACCTACATAATATCGTAGTGCATTCGTCAACAAAGAAACGTTTGATGACATGGTCAACGACAGGTGTTACAGTTCGCATAAGACAACCAAGAAAACAACCCCCCGTATAGCTCGTGCCAACGTAACGGTAATTAGTACTTAAACAGAGCAACGCGATACAACGTCTACTTTCGACTTCCCCAGTCGATAATATCTAATGATAATCCTGAGGATGGGATCAGTCAAAGAAAGTTTATGCAGAAGAAAAAAAAAACAAAAAGAAATAGAAAAAAAAGGAAAGAAGAAAAATGGACGTTTACGTGCTTTGCGAAAAAGGTCGATGCGTGTTAGCGGGTAACGATTGCTTCTACGATAGGCACACGTAATCGCGGCACCGTGAGATCAAGACCATATGACACTCTGGCCGCTCATCCACCCTTTTCCAACGAATTAGATGTCGCGATACTAAATAGCGTTATTTCATTTTCACCTAACTTATTAATTTATAATCTATAAAATATATATATATATATATATATATTAGGGTGGGTCAAAAAAATCAATTATTTTTTTTTTTACAAGTGCCACGGAAAAATGGGTTGCTAGACACCTTAAAAGAATTCTTACCAAATATGAGCTCTTAATTTTAATAGGACGATCCTTCGCATCGCAGTTTTTTATTATAATATGATATTAATTATATTATTTATATATATGTATATACTATTATATTAAAATTTGTATTATATATATATAATAAGTCAAGGACAAATTACACGTTAATCTATTTGTAATCTTCCTCTAACATGCTTAATGTTCTTAATGTAGGTATATAACAAAACCAGAAAAATCTTCAAGGGAAGGAAGAAAGAAAATGGCTACTAGGAAGAGAAGGAGGAGAATGAGGAAAACGACGACGACGATGACGACGACATCCCTATTAAGCGTCCTCGCGTGCCTAACCCCTTATATTTACATCCCCTCTTTCTTCAAAGGGCACGGATTCCTTTCACCCTCGCACGAAGTCACGAATCGTGATCACCGTTGTTGTTTCACAACTTGGACGAAGTTATCTCATCAAGTCGTCACGAGGGTGGGGGTGAGCGCCTTGCCTCGTTTCCGGAACTTCCGATTAAACTTTCTCTTACTTTAACAAACTATTTTATATTCAAACTCTCTCGTCGTAACTATAACACCCATTTATTACTTATGGTTGTAATTCGGTGCATAGTAAGTTGATGTTTAATTAACGATATCTACTAAAGAATATAATCGTTTATTTTTTTCAGTTTATTTTCTATAATTCTTTCGAAAAGTATTACAACTAACTTGGTAACTAAGTACACGAATACTTTTCAAACTTTTTTCCTAGTTTTTAATATTTGTAAGCGTTTAAAAATGTCGAATCATTTCCTGTGTTTTTTTTTTTTTTTTTTGTATATCGTGTATGTGTTCTTATATTAGTTATTAGAAAATAATCACTCGTCACTTTCGTTTTTTCTCTCCTGTTTTTTTTTTTTTTTGTATTATTATAATTCACGATCGAAACGTGCCTGATAATGCTGTCACAATGAGGAACGATGTCATAGAAACAATTTTTCGTCTCATCTGTTAACAATTTATATTTGTAATCTACTATCTACTTGCGTAGTAGTAAGGAACGACAATTTATAACTGACAATGTACAGTAAAACACTCGATTTTCTTGAATTACATTTATCAAATCCGATTTATCGAAGCGCCAATCACTCGATAATAACTGAATTTATAAATTATTAATCACTAAGTAAAAATGGAAAAAGATTTTATTTATTATTTAGTCTATATGATGATTTCGAACTTTTTCATGTATATACAGTATATATATATATATATTATGATCCTTTTTTAATATATGCCAGAAAGACTCAGGATGAGTAATTTTCTATATCTCGAAATAGAATCGAAAACTACTCGGGTACCTGTCATAATACATATATACATTCTGTATATATTTTTATATATAGGAAATATATAGAGATATACATATATAATCTAATGAAAGAGACAAAACTCGTATTATATTCTTACAACATTGAAAAGAAAAATAGAAAAAGAACTATATCCACAATTACAGCTATTTATTATTAATATTTGAAACGGTACGCGTTTTCCCTTCAACATTTTGCGCACATTTGCTTTTCCTATGTTCATTTCTTTGTGATCCGTGCAACGTTATTTAAATTATTAATCAATATTGTGTGTAAGTACTTACCGTTTATAAATAATAGCCAATGTGAAACAAAAATGAAAAGCAAAGTTCATCATACAACTTCATGTTATTACATATACGAAAAAAGGTAACCAAAGTGTTTGATCAAATTAATTACTAATTACTGTCTCGAATATTTACGTTTGAAATTTAATATACAATTAATTTATTTAAATAAACATTATGTGAGATTTAACGTATACTTTTTTTTTAATTTTTTATTCGTATTTTTGAATTACAATAAAACACGTATGATTTATGTGAAAATTTTGATAAACAAATTAAAATTGTAATGGATTATAGTGAAAAATATAAACAAATTTCGCAGAAAGAGGAAGATGAAGAAACAGATCAAGATGATCTAGATGATGACGAAGAAAGATCAAAGATAGAACATGATGATCAAGATGATGAAGACGATGATGAAGATGAAGAAGAAGAAGAATGTGAAGAATGTAAAGAAGTTGAGGATGATACGCCATTGAAAAAAGTATTGATTTATTTTAATTCTAATTGAATTTTGTTTGTTTACTTATTCTTTTTCTTTTTTTTACCAGTTACATTACAAATGCAAATATCCGGTAGAAAACTCCAGTAGATTTTCATTACGTGTGATGGAAGCGATGCGTTCATTGCAAAAACATGAAAATGTTTTGCCTATATCATCCAGAAAAGAAATAGTTGATTATATCGAAAAGAATTATAACAACGATGGAGATCTTAATGCCCAGGTGCGAACCTCTTTAAAACAACTTTGTACTCAAGGGTTAGTTCAATGTAAATATATATAAATACATTGAATATAATTTGAAGTAAACATTTGAAAAATATTAAAATACTTTTATTTTAATGTTAAGATTCGTTGCAGAGGTATTGAACGATGAATATCAACTGATAGGTCCTTTTAGTTTCACACGAATATTAGAAGACTGCGAATGTTTTGCAAATGTTGCAAAGAAACGTATGAATACACCAAAGTATAACAAAAAAGTTGGAAGAACATTTCGTAAAAAGAAAATACGTCAAGAGGAATCCCAATGTAGTTGTGAAAAGATAGAAGAAAATTCGGAATTAGAATTAGAAGATAAAATATCAAGAGATAATATTTCTCCATCATCGCGAAAGAATTATTTCAATAATACGATATTTGCAACACCTATACGTGAATTTTTAAGATTTACAAGAAGAAATAATAATTCACGAAAGTATCCTGTAAATGAAGAAACAAAAAAGCATAATAATCGTAAAAGATTGATTTCTAACGAGGATCAACAAACTGTTGATGACATTCAAGAAGACAATGATGATCATCGTACATTTTTTCACAAACGTACACCAAAACGCGTGCGTAAAACAAATGATAATATTCCTGCAACATCAGGAAGTGTAGAAAAAAATCAGGAAACTATTATTGCATCGAATAATCAAGTTAATAATAATTCTCAGGACGATCTATTTCAGGAAATAGAAAATTCGATTTCGGAAAAATCGAAATCGCGCGAGAAAGAATTAAAAAAATGGATACAACGATGTCGTCGCGAATGCGAAAAGCAAAAGAAAAAATAATTCATGAAAAATCTCACGTCTTCTTTCAATAATTTTATTGACAAATATATATTTGTGTTTTTGTTAATAAGTAATTGTATTTATTAATCGCTTATAAATTTACAATATGGATTTTTAATTGTTTTTCTTCGTCGATTTTTTTGACGAAATCGATTGTATGCACTGTTATGATGTCGATTTTTCATATCGTTATCAGCAATTTTACTCAAATATTCGAATACAAGATTGAAAACCGTTGTTATTTCATTCAATCGATGACCAATTTTATTTCTACAATTATATTGATCATTTTATAAATTGCATAAACATGTATATCTCGTTCGTAAAATATAATTTATCGTAGGAAATAAAAAAAAAATGGCGGACACCATTAATCTATACCTACTTCAGGGTTAGAATCTTTACATCTAAATATAATATCAATTTACCTAGATTGTTTCTTATCTTTAGATTTAGACATGATTGTTTATTCACCTTTTTACGTTATATATTGTATCTTAAAAAATCATGATCACAAAGATATGTTTAGAAAATTAGATATAATTGAAAATATTAAGAAAAGTTTATTAACTTAAGAATTTTACCAAAAAACTAATTGACTAATAAAAAAAAAACAAAAACCAAAAGAATGTTTATTTATTTTGTCAGTTTTTATGTATTCCGCGCGCGCGCGCGCATGTGTGTTATATGGGTGTGTTGTATATATGTGAGCCGTCGCTATGATACATTATTGTATCAACAAACGATAAAAAGTCACCGTGAAGAAAAAGTTACTATTATTTAGAATAAAGTTCAGTTATAAAAGATATATATAATAAGTATTAATTAATAAAAATAGTTTTAAAAATAATTCTTATAATAACTTGTCATATATACATATTTATATTTGCATTTTATTTAATTTGAGCGACATCTGTTGGTATCATGTGAAGACAATCCTTGTTAATTTATTGATAATCTTTAATTGTTATCGATTGGTTTAATAGCAATGTCTAAGAAGGCAAGATTCAATTATAATCATGATGTATATAATAGTTACATTATATTACAAATCAGAAAGCTAATAAGTGCTGTTTTATTGCAATATGCACGCATTTTAGTGCACGCACAATTTTCTTATACATCACTGTACGTTCGTATAAACTTACCACTAATACACGATTGGGTTATTTCACAATTACCATATATATATATATTTATTTTAATTTAATTTAATTTAATTTAATTTAATTAAAAATTATACAAAATGTTTAGACTGTGTCATGCTTAATTGTTATATATTTAAATGTATTAATGTTACAATATAATTACAGGGAACAACCAAACTTGAAAATCATGGATATTCAAAGTCGCAAAAGCTCAGTAACCGTAGAAAAACTGATGATGAACAACTGGAACTTCCTCAGACAACATCCTCCAGTAGTAGAGTATCAGGAAACTCTTTTAAACAAAAGAAGCCTAGTTTACCTCAGAAAGAAGTTTCGATGAGTCGACAAGCATCAAGTAGAACAGTTGCATCCAAATCTAATACCTCAAAATCTTTGTCAACATCTAATATATCAGAAAAAAATGTAGCGAGTATTAAGACAAGAGATAGTAGTATTAAAAAGAGTAATTTAGCTCATAATACAAATACAAAGCCTACTAAAATGTATCATCAGAGTACATATTCTGAAAAAAGAGGGATTAGTAGTATATATGTACCAAAATCAAATGTAATTGGTAATAGTTCAAAAGAAAAGAAAAATACAGTAAAAGATGTTAAGAAAAAGACAATATCAAATAATTCAGAGTCAGTAGATAAAAATGATCCACAATCTAAAGTACGTAGAAGATCTAGAACATTAAGTTCATCTGAAGTTAAAGTATTACATACAGTTATGCAAGAAACATCTAAGAACAAAGAAATGAAAACAAACACAATACCTAAACAAAAAAGTACCAATCAAAATGAACACGATGAAAATTATTATACGGATGATTTTGAGGTATATCAATAATCATTCATCATATAACTTATGATATATATATATAGAAAATAATTGATTTGTATATTTCAGGAATATGAATCAGACTTTGAAGAATGCACGGACGATGAAATATTAGAAACTAGTGAAAGTTCAAGCGATAAGGAAACTAATTTGTATCAAAGTCCCATTGAACTTTCTACTAAAGAACAAGTAATATATTATTGATTCTTTTGTATATAACAAATATATAAAACAAAACTTCATTTCAGCAAAAAGTGGTACATAATACGAACAATCATAAAGCTGAAGAAGAAGATATGCATGATTCTGGTCACTATGAATTAGCAGAAGCAAAAAAACGAGCAATGATAATAGAAACAATGATTACAAAGGGACAAAATTTACCATTACCATTATCAGAACTCCAACAAACAATTAGCAAAGAGTACAGGTTTGTTTTATTCTTACAATTTATTACTAATAATAATGAAAAAGATTCTAATATTTGTTTTCATTGTATATTTCATTTTGATTTCATTTAAATAGCGAGGATAAATCATTTGAAAACAAATCATTACCATTGTCCATGGATGAAGGCTTTGAAGATACTAGGTCTGGTGATTTTACTAAGTTACCATCTCTTTCACAAGTTGCATTGATTGATTTTTCGAAAATTAAAGATAATATTACTAAAAAGGTATTGTGTGTATATATATATAATATAAATATATAATTATATTTTATTATAATAAAATTAATATTAATTATAATAATAGCAAGTAATAACTACTGAGAAATTAACAAAATCCAAAAGCAGAGGAAAACAGTTACTAACTATGATCAAATTGAATACTTTATCATTTTCTTTATTGGAATGTGCACCAGTGCCATATGATGAATTTATTAGAATTTATGGAAAATTTCATACTCAACAGGTATATTAATGCAATTTGTATGTTTTACTAAGTCGTTTCAAAAATACCATAAAGATAATTTAAAAATATAAATATTAATATTTTGTGCAGATGTATACACAAACAGGTGATGATAGATCAGAAGCTGAAACACAGACGATTGAAATATTAAATGTCAATAAATGGACACAATTTCCCATAAGTTGTAGCATACGTAATAAAGAAGATATACATTTATTTGCTATGGTATGATAACTATGAGATATATATATATATTCATATGTTGATATAAAATTCTGAAATATTAACAGATTTATCTTATAGGAACAAGCTGGAGTTGGTAGTGATGATAATCTTAATTCAGGAGAAATAGCAACACCATCTTTTGATATATTGCAATTAAATGATTTTGTACATCGTGCTGCCAACGTTATAATAACATTATTAGAAGAGAGAAAATTTGGAGGAACCATTTTTCAAAATGATGTACAAGAAATATCTGAAAGTGATGGTTTTGTCAAATTTGATCTAGATTCAATAACATTCCTTGCTGGTAGAGAAGTAACAATGATAAATTATTCTGAAAGCTGTAATAAAGTTTTATTGACTATTCATGCTCCTTACGAAGATGCAAGTAATAACAGTTTATGTATATGTTACTTAGATACACACATTTCTAATTGTTCTTTTTTTTTTTTTTTATGATTGATCTTATTAGGAAATAGAAACAGAACAAAATCATAAAGATATTACGGATTATTGTATTGGATGTGTATGGAATATTTGTGAACCATCTTTACCAACAAAATTATTTTATTCTACATCTCCTATCACTGCATGTTGTTTTCATTCAACCAATTACAATATAGTATTTGCTGGACTAGATGATGGGTATTTCGCATTTATAATATTAGCAATAATAATAATAATATATAATAATATATTATATATATTATAATATATAATAATTTTTTTATTTCTTATATTATTAGCAATAATTAAATGAAATATTTTACATGAATTTTTATATATTAGATCAATAAGTCTTTGGGATTTAAAAGAAAATGAAATATGGCATCATAAAGTTAATAACAATACCAATAATAATGATTGGATTATAAGAATACCAACATATACAACAACAGGAAATACAGACATTTCAATGCATGATTCAAAGATAGTTGCAATACGTACTTTATCTAAAACAGAAGAAATATATACAGAAATAAGTAAAAACAAATTCATACCTACACAGGTATGTTAAATACATATTGATTCATAATAATTTATCTAAATATACTAACTTTTATTAATATTTTCTTTATGTTAATTTAACAGTTATGTAGCATAGATGAAAATGGCCATTTTATTATATGGAGTGTATTCTACAATTTGGAATCAAATGTCAATGATTTAGGTTTGAGTCAATGGGGTAATATAAGGCTAATCAAAAGTCAAGACATGTTTATACAATTAAACAATAATGGTACAATTACTGACATGTATATTGACAATACTGATTGTAATGGCCTTTATATTGCAACTGATGCCAGTGAAATATTGCACAGTACTTGTTTTAATTACAAAGTAAATCCTTCAATGTATAAACGACAAAAAATAGGTGAATTTATTTCTTTTTTCAGTTGACGTTTTTAAAAATAATACATTGAAATAATGCAATTAAATATTTTAGCACCATGTGGAAATACTTCATCTATTGAAATATGTCCTTTTAAAGCATCTTATTTCTTGGTAAGAATTTTAATCATACATAATATTATTTGGTTTCGTATATATATATATAATTGGAATTGTTTTTATTTCTTAAATTAGATTGGCTGTAATGACGGGACAATTCTTCTTTATTCATCGAATAGAGAAAAGCCTATTTTACAATTAAAACATGATAATTATATAAATAAAATAACAGTATTGAAATGGTCAAGATCAAAACCATCGACAGTTTATGTTTTAAATAATAAATCGCAGTAAGTTATTTTATCAAATTAGAAAAGAAACATACTTTTTCTTGATTATAAAATAATTATTCATTTATGATAAAACAATATTTTAGAATATATACATGCAATTTGCAAAATAATGAAATGCACTGTATAAGTACTCAATCATTAAAAAAATGGGGACAAATAAATTGTATGCAATTATGTACTTGGAAAACTGAAAATAATAAGATCACTCAATATCTGGTATGTGATAAAGTTTAATATCATTAAATTATATATATATATGTGTGTGTGTGTGTGTGTATATGTAAGTAGTAATTGTTAAATATAAAAATACAAATATTTTTCAGGTACTTGGAACAAACATTGGTACTGTACTAGTTTATAAATTAAAAAAGGAATCTTATTGTTCCGAAAAATCTGAATTCGAAGAAGAACTACAATCATTTATGAACTATATTACACTTTTATAATAAAAATATGAGACAATAAGTTAACTGCAAATAAGTGTGTATTAAAATATTATTTCATTGGTGATAATATTTACAATTATCGTTCAACAGTCTCATATTTAATTATCTATATAATAAGTATTTAAAAACAAAAAAAATAAGACAATCCAAACAAAATCACTTATTACAAACAATTGTTATTGTACTCTTTTTGAATTTCATCCTTACTTGMTATATATATATCAAAATTCTTCAAACAATTTTGAAATAGAATTTGAGTGTATTTCACTCCATATATAGGAGATTTTATATAAATTGTAAATAAAACGAAAATAATATACACATACTATTTTATCGATTTTTTGTATATATATATATAGTTATATGCATATAGTATTAATATTTAAGAATGTTCGACTTTGGAGAAAATGAAAATAATTATGATAATTAATTGAAGGTAAAAATTACAATTAAAATTAATAATCCTAACAAATAAATTTGATCAAAACGTGAATTGAAATGATGTGCACTACTACTACAAGTTGAATTAATCATTTCTTTTATAATATCTTCGTAATTTGGAATTCGATGTATTTTGTTAACTTCAAGTTGTATACGTTCCGATCCCTCCTGTACAGATAAACAAATTTTTAGTGTTATTAATTTAATATCGTATATTTATAAATAATTGCAAATTTATTTTTTGTATATACAATAATAGGACCAATAACGAACGTATACTACTATAATAACATTTGAAAGATATTTTTGTATGTAATATTTATCAATTTGATGACAACAGGATGTGTGATTATTGTTCTTGGATAGAACAAATTTTAGCAAGAATAAATGTTGAATCAAAAGTATTACAAGAAAGGATACCACCACCACGCGTTGATCCTACCATTATAGTTCATGGAGGTGCAGGAAGAATACCAAAAACGAAACGTACATTTATGTTAGAAGAGGTATTACTTATATATTAATATATCTCAAATATATATTTTTTTTTTTTTTTTGTTAAAATATTTAAAATATAAGATTGAAGATTAAATGTATTTAAAAAAATACAGGTAAAAAGTGCTGCTTTAGAGTCATATCAAATTCTAATAGAAGGAAATACAGCTGTTGATGCAGTTGATACAGCAATTTCACGCATGGAAAACACATTGTATTTAAATTACATGAAGGAAACATATACGCATACTAACAATGAAATTATTATGGATGCAGGTATAATGACTAATAATCTTGATGCTGGTTGTGTAGGTGTTGTTTGCGGTATTGAACATCCTATCAAGTTAGGTAAGATCATAATTTATGTAATTGTTTCGTGATAATTACTGAAACAATATTTAGCAAGAGAAGTCTTAGAAAATACGGGTCACGTGCTTGTCGTTGAAAATGGTGCTCAAAAGTTAGCGAAAAAAGCAAAACTTTCAAAGTTACCGCAAAAATATTTGATGAGACAATTAGCACCAAGTGACGATACAATATTTTCCGCTGATGAAATGATTTCTGAAGAAGAACATTGTGATTTAAGTTACAGTACTGATAACTCTACCATTAACAAAGAAAAGGAAGTTAATGAATCTGATGATATTAAATGTAAAGAGAATGAAATATCGACTATTAAAATGTACTTTCCACAATGTCAATTTTTAGAAACAGAAGGAAATGAAGAATTAAAAGAATCAGATAGCATTGTATCGTTTCACGAGGTTTGTACAAGTAGCCAATATTATAAGAGAAATTAATGTACAATTGAAACTTAATTACGATAAAGGCTAGAACAGTGGGTGCAGTTGCTTACGATCGAAAGAAACGTTTGTCAAGTGGAATTTCCACAATGGAAGAACCCATGAAAGTGATACGAAGTTTAAACGCGATTGGTACCGTCATTGGTTGTGGAATTTACGCGGATGAAAATGGTTGTTGTTCTGTTTCTGGAAATAGTAAAACGTTGTATTGCTATGCACCAGCTCGTAAAATTGTTCGAAGATTTAATTCAAAGACAACAATGATGTTAGACATAAACGAGGAATTAGAAAAGTTTCAAAGTGAGACAGGTGAATCTCAAATAGGTGTTATTGCGTTGAACAAGAAAGGTGAGCCTTCGGTTTCATTTAAGTCCGTACATTTTCCATGGGCTTGTTGTCGAAATGGTTATATTTATTATGGATGTGAAGAATGTGATAAATTTTGTGAACAAATAACTAATTTGAGTCGTCCACTTGATTGTATGTGCGAAAAATCTACATAGAATGATTAAACAAGTACTTACTGGAAAGATTACGTTTTCTACACCATCGTATGGGCCATACAAAGAAAAAGCTCTAGTATATCGTGTAGTTGTTGTTCCAAAGAGTTGATTCATATGGAGAAACATCGAATAAATTTCATCACGTCTCAAATCGGTAATATTTTGATGCGCAACTATCTAAATAGGATTGTAAATTTGTTTAAAAATGAATTCAAATGAAAAACAAAATGTTTCATATATTACATTTATATAATAATTGTATATAATATAATTGCAATTATATTATATTTGAAATTGAATATAAAATAATATTTACCGCGGTCGATGTAATCCTTGTTAATAAACACGCTTCTTCTGTCTCCTTTTGTGTTGTTTCTTCTTTACACAAAATTTTATACTTTTCATTTCCTAAATTTGTTATATTAAATTCTTTTTTGATATTATTTAAATTTACGAAAACCACATCAGCCCGACCTGATGTTAGACAAGAAAATGTATCGATATCGTTTTCAACATTTACATCTAGAAAATAATTTGATATTAGAGAGAGAGAGAGAGAGAGATAAATATATGAATATATTTGAATATATTAAAAATCACTTTTTTTTTACCTCTTCTACACAAGGAATACAAATTACGTGGAATATCTGTTTTCATAGTAGATAATCCAGGTACACAGCTGTGACTAAAGAAATTGCCAACAGCTTTGATATCCGAACAGTCCCCATTCTCTTTTGATATCATTTTCATAATGGTTACAAAAGTATTCCAACCTGAAATCAATCATTTTAACATTAACATTTTCAAACAATTCAAATTCGTAAATCACCTTATAGTTCTAAATTGTTGATTAATATTTTCACCTATGCTTTGATATCCCGTAAAACAAGCATTAGCTCCTTTTAAATCCTTTATACTTTTATATAAAGAATTCCTTTTAACGATTGCAACAATTTTAATATCGTACTCTGGATTGGTTGTTACTTGCAAAATAGGTTTCATTTCTTTTCTGAAATATTAATCTATAAGCACTACGATAATACTTTTTTTTTCGTATAAAAAACAAGATGTACGTATTTGAATTTATTGTCATCTCACTTGAAAACTTGAAGAAGTTCTTCGGGTTTGCTAACAAAGATGTCAGCTTCCTGATTTCTTACTGCATCGAGACAAGACATTCTATTTGATTCTTGAATACATGATATAGAAGGTTCGATACCATATACAAAGGATGCATCTCTTAACCATCGACACTTCCTGTCTTCAATATTTGAAGAAATGCACCAACTAACGCGTCTCGAAGGTTTACAAGTTGCACGATCGTTGGCACTCAAGAAACCAATACCTTTGATAAAGAAGAACAAATGATACATTGTTTATATTCGATCTGTTTTTAAATTTATTTATATATGTATATATATATTACTTCGTTCCAAGTAATCAATAGGTGAGTAGAATGTCTCTGTTAAAATGAATGTTGAGTGAAACGATAATACATCATAAAAAGCATTTTTCCATAAGTAACTCCGATTGATCGTTAAATTGATCATATCAACAGCTGTTTCCGCTATTTTACTGTAATTCAAAATAATTTACATAATAAAATAGGAACGTTTTTTAAAATGTAAAATTAAAAAAACAAAACAAAAGATAAAAACTAACATTGGACTAACGATAACGGGCCAAGGTTGTTGTAACCAAATACATGGATTATCATCTTTTGCTGGTCTTGTCATACCATCCGGACAAAGATACGAATAATCGTCTTTGTTAGATTCGGTCATCTTTAATATATCAATTTATAATATGTTATTAATTGTAATATTTCAAATAAAAAGTGTGCATGCATCAATTTGTATGATAGAAATCATTAAATAGTTTTACCTTGAAATATTGTACAACATCATCTAATCTAACCCATGCAATGTCTCCAACGTTATCAGTTAAACATAATATAGCTCCATCTCTTCCATGATATTTATCACCTATGGAACAACTGGCAGGATTGTAACAAAGTGAACATAGGTTTTTGTATTTCTTTTCTAAATGGAAAATAATTATAAACGTTAATTTAAAAACTTGTTAATCTCAAACATATGATACTGTATATATATATATATATATATCAAAATACTTACTTAATTTTTTATCTAATGCAGCATCATCTATCCATGGACCAGCTATGCAAGCTGCTTCAAAATAATTAGACAATGCTGTTAATCTATTTTCTAACAATGTTTTCTCTGGATCGCATTCTTTAGGTATAATTCGATTTTCAAAATACTGTGTCAGAAAAAGAAAAAACAATTTTTTATATTAAAAACTCTGCGTGGGATTTTTATTATCCTTTTTTTTTTTTTTTAAATTATTATCTGTTTAAAAATAATCATCAACCGTTCGTTGGGATGTTATAAAAGTTAGAAAAAATACGCTAAATCGATATAAAGTTATCCAAAAATTACTCTGATGCTTACTAATATTTTTATCGATACTTTTAATATTTATATATTATTATTATATTAATTATATATTTTTTATATCGTATGTTACTTCGATTTTAACTGTATAAATGTGTATATATGTAACCGCATTTAAACGAATCTTCATAGTATCTTCGCGTGTTCGGAAAAAGTTGAAAGAGAGTTTCGTAAAAAAAATTAATAAAATATTAAACAGTTAATAAAATAAAATAAAAAAAAAAATTAAAAACAATTAGAGTTAATATTATAGAATCAAAAATAATATAATACTGACCATCGAAAGGGATTTAGTATAAGTATCAGAAATTTCAAATCCAGGATGACAAAATCTTTTCCCTTTGAGATCCCATTCGCTATCAATATTTTTTCGTACTAACGCTACCATTTCGAATTCATATTTCTCTGGAAAAAAAAATTAAAAAAAAAATAAATAAATAAATAATAACACATTGATTAAAATCGTATTGATCAAACAATAATGATACTGGCTCGATATTAACATTTTGTTGTTTCTTTTTTTTTAATTACCCTTGGTAAATAATCTTAATTCGAAGGTAGTTAAAAAATCAAATTTGTTCATAGATACTGCTAATAAATCTTCCGCTTGCAATGACGCTACATCGGCTTCGTTATTCGCTAATTTTCGTAAACAATCAAACCTACAAATTAATATTATTTTGAATAATATGATATTACACGCAATATCGTAATTTACCTTACAATTTACCTGTCTCTCGCTACGGAACATTCAAATCGAGGAATGTCCATTATCGGACATGTTTTGTTAATCATTCCCTTTTTATACGTACTTTCGACTACGCATATTCTTACTATAAAAAAAAAATGAATTAATAAATAAAACAAAAGAGTTATTAATCAAATTGAAAGAATTCCAACATTAATAATCAAATTATTACAAAATTATCATTGTATATGTTTTATGATAAATGTATGTATATATATATATATATAATAACTTACATGTTTGAGCATTAGTTACACCATATTCATTGAATAAAAATATCAAAGTGTAAAGTAACAATTGATAAGAAATTAATTGAAGATTCATTTTAAATGATATACACCTCTTAGACCCGAAATAACTCAATTTATTTTTGGATAACTTTCACTAATCTCACGACGAACCAGAACCAGAAACATTGGAAGGATGATGATGATGATCGAGAGCAACAACGGTTATTTACTCACTGATATTTCTCTGATGAGTAAGTATCCTTTTGAGAGAATAAATGGAAAAATACGTGTATAACACATATATAATATACTTCTCTCTGTCAGATCGTATTACGAGATTTTGATTTGGTATATCACTTTTAATTCGTTATGTCAGCTGATTTTCTTGTTTGAAAACAACATTGTATTGGCATTGGTTTTTAATTCAAAATGTTCTTAATTTTTTCAATTTTAAAACAGGGGTTTTTTTTAGGAATACCCTATGGAAAGATACATGTATGTCACGTTGTTGTATATATTCCGTAAATTTCTTTCTTCGAAGAAGTTGAATCAAGGTCGTTGAAGGAGGAAAGAAAAGAATTAACATTCATATCTCTTTCTATCTTTTATAAACATCTGGATCTCTCGAATGTGTTTTTTTTCTTACCGAATTAACACGAGAATCACATATGTACTACAGATTCCAACTCTCCAAATCAAATTCCCCAACGCATGCACGCATACATACTTAGAAAACCGGAATTTATATTATTATTAAGCTTATGACATACCAGAAAGAAAAGAGTGGGGTCAACTTCGTTGAGCCATCATCTCTTTAACAGAGAATGTTTTTCTTATTGAAAAATATTTTTTCAGATTTTCATGTTGTGTTTCTTCTGATATATATATATATACTCTGTTTATTTATTTTTACATATTTTTAATTCAATCATATTATTGTTTTCTTAAAAACGTTGTCTAATATAATGAATTCGATACCATTTCAATCTTTGTAATTCTTATAAAAGGAAAACATGTAGAGTCGTTGGATGATTAACTCCGCGTGTGTGTACATTGAACGATGACGCTATCAATGATATGTATTATTTATAAACGTAATCGCATATGAGACAGGAAAGATCTCAGATCTCTTCGTTTAAACGCTTTAATGTATGTGTTAGTTTCTAATTTAATGAAATTGTTAATAAAATAGAAACGAAGATAATGTAAACATCATTCGTAAGTTCGTTATACGCCCAGAAATGTTTATTCTCTCGTAGATAAGTTAAATTGCATTACGAGATAATTTTACGTAAAATATCATATACCAATAAATGTTTCGTCATATCATGTACCATATTTATTGCTATTGTTTAGTGCTAAGTTATACGTGAATTTTACTTATTACAATATCTCATTTCATTTAGTTCTTCTCATCGACAAGTTACAAACAATCGTAATCAATTTCTCATTCGTTTAAGATGATGATATTGAAGAAGAATTGACATACTTCTTTTGAAAAAATAACTAAAATTATATAAACTTTGAGATATATAAATATATATATATATGTATATATAAGTTGTGACAATATCTACAAACAAAATCTTCAAGGTAATCATTATTTTATTCTAAGAAAGATTGTGTATTGGGTGCGGACGCCCATTGTATTCATATCTTTGCACAGGATGCAATTATCCACTTCTAAATAATCTATAATAAAAATAATTAAATATTATTACAAGATAGCATTTAAATACATTTTAAATTATTATTATATATACTTATTATATTATATGTCATTATACCTATAGATATTTTTGTTTATATTTATTTATAACGAGATAGTATTCTATATTACTTCGTATGGAATATATATATATATATATATATATAAAATTGTTTAAAAATAAGCTTTTGTTTCCAAGAAAAAAGAAAGCGATCGTTATTCAGCATTCAACCATTTTGTATAGTCATCTAAAAAAGAATAGAATTTTAATTTGCAAGTAGAATTGATAAGAAGAAGATCGTGACAAATAATTGCTACATTGTGAATAAAAGAGATAATTATTCATTGAAGTCAATGTACTATATTCTTTATTGCATAATTAATTGTCGAGTTATGCAACAATTTCAAATTACAAAATATTATTTTAAACACCTATCGATATTTTTTTTTTTTTAGTAAACGTGGAAATTGCTATCAGCGCTCCATAGTGTTGCATTATTGAACTAAAAACTTATCTCATTGTCAGATAGTTGTATATATATATATATTTATATAGATAAGAAAACTGTACTTTAGATTTTATTTTTCAATTTCATTTTTTTTTTTTGGCGAACGAATTTTAACGAATGTTTTAATAGTGATTTTTATAAATAATTAATATAATTAGTGAAAAATATATTGAATGTTTAATAAATAAAAGTAAACAACAGATCGAGTGCAATATAACCAAAAAAAGTTACAAGGATATGTAAATAATTATTATAAATATGTTTGAATAACAGACACCATAAGTGATGACTATCGTTTAGTGATATTATAAATATTTATATATATATACATATTTGTTTCTACCGATCACGCAAATTTATTTATCTATTTCTTTATATATCAGGTATATTATATCTTCATATATAAAGTATTCTTTTTATAACAATCAACGTCATTTTTTATCATCTAATTTGATTAATATTATTTATAGAATTGTATTATATTGCACGATTATAAACATAATAACAAATACACAACACGTAGTTGATATAAAAATAGAAAGATTAATGAATTTAATTAAATGGATTTTACCATCATATAAAAACTGTAATATCGACGTAGTACCAAGCATATTAATGGACGTCGTAAATTTTATATTACATTGGCGTAATAAAACTTAAACAAAATATAAATTAATGTTAAATAATAATAATAATATCAATTGTTATAATAGAATTCGTTGTTCCTTTATAAAATCGTAATATAAAATAAATAGCACAATTTACATAAAGGTTACTTATTATTAGTATTATTATTTCTTTAAACATATCAAATTTATATCATAATTATATTAATATTTAATCCTATTATATTTATTTAAATTAATTAAAGAGAAGCTTATCGTGGACCAAAGATTGACAAAAAAAAAAAATGAAGATAAATTATGTTCAGTTGCCTGTCAAACTTCATTACTTCTTTTTTATGGGAGGTAAGTGTGTGTGAGAAATGTTTAATATTTATAGAAGTAAATTCTTTATATTAAATCAAATTATTTAAATATAAATGTGTGTGTGTCTCGGTAGGTAAGTTACCGTCAGATTTAATTAATCATTTTTATTTTTAGCTATGGGTCCCATACTCCCTTTCTTACCGGTATATGGTAAACAACTTGGTGTTTCTCCCGTGGTGATGGGTACCGTTACCGCGGTACTTCCAATTTTATTTCTTATTGCTAAACCGCTATTTGGATTTTTAGTAGATCACTTTTATAAATGGAGAAAATCTATTTTTGTAACTTTATTAACGATAACAAGTGGTTGTTATATATGTTTATATTTTGTACCACCAATACCTCACAATTTAAAACAAATGTCATCAAATTATACTTTCAAAGATATTTCATGTTCGTCACTTTTTGACTGCAATTTTAATGTAAGTAATTTATATATATATATATATATATTTTTTATTTTTTTCTTTTAATTTTAACAATTATAATAATTTATCTTTACTCAAATTGTTTTTATTAGAATGAAGTAACGTTGAATTGTATAAAAAAGAAAAATGTAACGTGCCGTTGGATATGCGACAATGAAAACAATTCATCATTTTTACGAATTAACGAAGAAGAATCATTGAGCGAATTTTGTATGATCGATGCAACTAAAGTTTCTAATTGTTCGATGAATAATAATAATTGTAACATGACGAACATAGTTTTGGAAGATACATATAATTTGTATATATCTATGACATTCTGGAGTTTTATAATTTTAATGTCACTTGGTAATATAGGTTTTAATATTTCAAATTGTATTAGCGATGCAATTTGTTTCGATGTATTAGGTATGTATATTTTAAAATAATATCGAATGTGTGTTCATTCTTTATTATTATTATTATTATAAAATATATAATATTAATATTATAATTATTATTATATTATTTTA